TAATAATAATAATTTTTATTTCCTCTAAGACAAAAAACAAATTTTTATAGAAATTATAAAAATAATTGCCTTACAAACTAAACCAGAAAGAACTCGTCTAAAGTATAATAACAATTGTCGAGTAAAAAACTTTTTAACACATTTTAAAAAACTTAAATTTTTAGCAAGCTTAATGTGATCACTAAAATTATTAAAAATCTTAAGACCAAGACATGGGTGAATTCAATGGAATTTTATATTTATAAAAATTTATATGATAGGTCACCAAAAATACCTACGGGACATTCCCCTTTTTCAATACATTCTATTGATTTTTCATGAAAAGTATAACTGAATTTGTCGACCTACCAGGGCAAAAACCGTGCTGACTAGCTGTAATAATATAATTTCTATCTAAGGAAGGTAAAAATAAGCATATTCAAATATAAGAGAGAAAGTGGTAACAGATCTATAGGCAATTGCTAACTTCGGATCGTTCTTTTTATATATAGATACTATTTTACCTAAAATTTCAAAGAATTTGGAAAATCACCCGTATTAAACGATAAATTAACTAGATATGTATGTGGTCTAACCTGACCATGATTTAATTTTTAGTTTACTTTTCAACAGTTGTAATAATTCCTCACTTACATAGTAAGTGACTTACTACCCATGACTTACTATATTTTGGTTTTTTGGTTTTCATTAATGAAAAGTATGTATCAAAATAATATCGAAAAATGTCAAAAAGTGTTATAAGCTTCATTTAAGTTCTGTGACATATATACATTCTCCCAACTTTCTGACTGCAACGCATAATAGGAAAAGTTTTGTATATTTTTTATATTTAATTCAAAGAATACCGATCTATGATCCGAGAAAGCAAAGCGACACAAACCGTGCCATCTTACATATTAGTAAAAATTTGATCTAATATTGTTGAAGTAGAACTACCAGGACAGTCTAAATTAAAATCACCAGTTAAAATTATGTTTACATTTGGTTGAAACACATATTCTAAAACTTCATAAATACCTACACTCTAAAAAAATATTTAAATTCCCTTAGGAGATCTGTAGCAAGTTAAAATTATAAAATAACTATTGTTATCTCTATACCTAATTCAACAAATTTCTATGTGCTTCTCCTTGCAAAACTTGTCTAAATTTATTTCAGTAGTCTCGAAATTTAATCTAGAAAAAATGGCGACACCACCTTTTTCATTTATATTCCTACAACAATATTGACTACTTACTCACAAATTTATAATGTTCTTAAAATAAATAGAATTACTTTTAGCGTGAGTTTCAGTATAACATAAAACATGTATGCTATTACAAACGGCAAGCCCAACTTCTATATAATTAATTGCCTCTTCATTTAAACTACAAACATTTAACAATAAAAGTTGTGGTTGAAAGATTGTCATTCGACGTTCTTCCTGCCCCTCACACATGATGAGACAAATGTGGTGCATCATGTTCGTTGCATTTGTATGATGTCGACTTGTCCATCTTATATGTTATGCCCTTGTTTGAGAAGACAAAACCATTGATTGTCGAGACGTAAACCGCGTTTTTTCAGTGCGAGATTTTTGATTAGGCAAAACCGCGTTCATAAAATTTTTCGCGGGTGGCAAAATATCCAATAAATAAAGAAAAAACGCTACAAAATAATTTTCAAAAATACATTGTTAGTTTTTTTAATGGAACATATATTTTTACATAATTCAATTCGCCAAATTATGTATGTATGGTGGTGTCAATAGTTTTTGATGCAGATACGGCATTGCCAATTAAAAAATTCTTTAAATTTTTCGAAAGCATGATCTAAAACTTGTAATAATTTCATATATTAATAGTTAGAATCAAAATATTTGACAATGTAGAAAAGAAAGGTTACCCACTGCATATCTGTAGGACATTCATTGCTTTATATAGGACGTTTTCCATAGACATGTCAGCTTCTCAAATTTGAAACGGCATTTTATCTTATGTTTCAAATGAAACATCGTATACTCGATGGTCTCATTTTGTACATCTTTTTATTCTTTCTAACTTTTATTAAAGTATTTCTATAACAACGCCGCAATCGAACGAAAAACTATTAAAGTACGTCACCAATCACCATACGCTGAATTTTTTCCATAATTGTATAAAAATATATACAAAATAAAACAAGTTCTTGACAGCTACGCGTTTATACGTCACCAGTTAAACAGAGACAGAAACTGATATTTGAAAATAGTTTTAAATTACAGTATTTTTTATCCCCTCCCATTTTAATTTGAATATTTTTTATTTTTGTTAAAATACTATTAATTTTTGCACGTGTCTAATAAAATACAAAACGCAGATTTACACTCGACCTATAATACGGTCAGAAATTTCTTCCATCCTAAATGCTACTTTTAAAAGAATGTTTCCCAGGGGCCTATTATATTCAACTATCTATATATGGACTCCTTCAATTTATGTTTGCATAAAATGTTAAAAAATTGGTACAGAAATATATAAGTGTATGAATACATTGTTTGATTTTATTCACCCTTCCTTCATATAACAACGAATAGAGCACTGTTTGGCTGTTAAAAATAAAACTATAAGTGATTTACGATTTTACAAGTGATGTGAACATTTACAAGTGGCGCCCGATTTATATATATGTATGTATGTATGTATGTATGTATGTATGTATGTATATATGTATGTATGTATGTATATATGGCGGATATCGTAAAAGTGTGACAAAGGGGTAAGTATGTAGCTTAAGGGCCTGAGGCGAGCGTGAAAGTTGCTTCAGGAATCGAGGATTTTTCCATCACAATATCTAAGCGATGAACGTAAAAACTGTAAATACTGATTTAACATGCACAATACTTTGAATGTCGAACATGAAAAACTAAATCAATTTAGAGCTATGCTTAAATAGTTATCATCTTTAACATCTATTAATAAATTCATTGTTGTACAATACATTTTCATGGGAACATTTTGATTAAAATTAATAACTGAGAAAACACGAGAACGTTAATTCAAGCACGTGCACATTCTGAATGTCTTTTAGATGAACTTATTTGGATATTTGCTTTCCATTCCACTGACATCACTGCCTTTATTGTCACAAACTATTTCCAACAAGAAATTGTAGTTAGTCCGAGTGTGTTACCTGAATATATATCTCGGGGTGTGTTCCCAAGGTATCGACATACACTCGAAGCAATTTGGTTAATTTTGCTTGGGGGATTTGTTGCAAAATGTGGATTTTCTCAGACCCTGGAAAACAGTTCTTGGTACACGAATCTATACTAAACAAAAAGGTTAGTTAGTTGTGGATTTGTTACGTTTTGCGGTAAATTCTAATTAAAACAGATTTTTCTCATTATAATTTTGACAATTAAATATAAAATATTGTAAACTCAATTTTTAACTCGAGTATTTTATCATTAAGATTTAACTACGTAATATTCCTAGAACATGATATAAAAAAGCTTAGATAGAACGCGATAAAAAAAGATTAGATTAATTACTTCATTGGGAATAAAGTTCAGACAATGGATTCCTGCGCGCATTATTGTATTTTTGCTGAATGGCTTTTGGAATTAAAACAATAAACAATGCAAATGACGGAAACGTCCGAAAGGGTTGGAGGCGTAATATAAATATATAAGCGAAACTTAAAAGGTCTCCAAAAGAGTGGTGGAAAGTAGTCTTTCCGTATATAAGTATTTAATCTAAGAAGTAGTCTTGAAAGTGTAAGATGATAGACAGTGCATCAGCATCAGGTCTCCCCTGTATCACGAAGTTGGGGTAGATCGTTCTTACGTCTTAACAGTTCAGATAGTAGACTAAGTAAAACCAATGTTAATAGTAGGTATTTATTTTAAAATAAATATCTTTTTTTCTCTTTGCGTCATGCGCCTTGTAACAAAATTACCTACCAAATTATTGAATATAGAACTGTTTATTGTGGTAATCAAAATATTGCTTTAACAATTCCGTTACAAGCCTCCCGCGCCATCTGTCAATAATCAACTTCTACTAACGAGATAAAATAACAATTTCTGTATTTTCTAGGGCACAGAAGTTTTTCAGTATATTGCAGCTCTCAGAAATCTTGATTATACACCGTAAAGATGTGTACAGTACACTAGTACAGTCATTGTAAAGTCTGTAGGGAGTACAGCCTTCGAATTATTCTCCTATATAAGCTGCAAGAGTAGGAGCAAGATGTGAATAATTACTGCTATCAGCTTCTAATAAAACTACTATTTAACTAACCTGAATTTTCAAAGTAATGGAAATATATTAAGAAGATAATATTCTCTGTTCCTTTTAATTTCTCAATCTTTTTTTTTAAATAAAATTGAACAAGATAAAAATGGTTTTGAATGATTGAAAATTACAAAATTTTAAATTTTACTATAATATCAAAATATTATCGCAAAATATTTAATTTTCATTCAAAAATAATATTGCAAAAACATTGCAGAATATTCTTAATGATTAATAACAGTTTCAAAAACATCGTTCAGAAATGGTATTTTGTAAATTGATTAACTTAATAGGTATTAAAAAAATTGATTAGCCCTTAACATAGTTAAAGAAATCAAAGAACAGAATGATAAAATTCTTATGTAAAATACTTGGAAAATGGAAAAATTGTAGATAAAGTTTTTAGATGTTAAAGATCTGCGAGTACAACAGAATATTATATCTCAAGATTTGTTTCAAGGTTCTGCAGATTTCTTTTAAGACATCTATGTCTCATCCCGCATTAAAACGTGTTTCATGTTGCTATTCCCTACCTGTATCATATATTAAAGTTTAAAATTGTTCTTCATGCCCAGTTTTAGAAAATATGCATAGTGCCGAGAAAAAGGAAATTAATGGTGCAAAAATATACAAGAAAATATAACTCAGAAAAAAACCTAATAATATTGTTGTAAAGGTTAATTTAATTGATGAGAAGTATCTGACTTTGTTTTTATTTTATATAAATACAGTTGTATATATTCATCAATAAAATATTACAGATCAGAGAGAAAATATATATACTTCTACATCATTAGTTGTGATTGTGATTACCGTTATGAGTTAAAATGTATTTATTTTATTATTTATTTTGTCATAAATAAAACGATAAATGGTAAGGACGTAATGCTACAATTCAGTCCCCTGTGTAGTCCTTGAACCTACAAAAATAAAAACAAATAAGTTTATACCTTCAAATTATTATAGTTATCGAAGCTATCGCATATCTCTTCTCTAATAAATGAGAAGTCTAAAACTTATAAGGTCAAAATCTTATAATATAGTTGTTCCATGACTGCTGTTCTCCAAGAAAAGTCATTTAAAAATTGTTTGTAAACATAAGTTATGAGCAGTGTGGCCAGATTTTCTTAGGAGAGACAAAATTTGCCTGCCCAAAACTGTACAACCGTAGGAAAAACAAGAATGGAATGACTTTTGATCACATTATCTCCCTTTCTCTAATGCAAAATGCAATGCTGACATATAACACTCAAAAAGTGGTAAGAGACTGACCAATTCTAGATCACAACTTGTTTTAGATCAAAAAATTAAAAAATATTAACAAACTTCAAGGTCATTTGATTTTTATGATTCCGGACTTTGATAGTGATAGAACAAACATAAAATTGCCGAAATTGCAAGTTGTGACTTTTGCAAATACTGGATTATACACCGATCATCAGGCGAGTAAGGCTACATCAGTCCATTTTACTTATCACATGCAACTGCATGAATATATGTGAAAAATCAGTGAAATTAATAAGAATTTAGGGGGAAAAGTTTAAAGAATCTTACTTTGGAAGCAATATTCACATTGATAAACATCAATTGACATCGATTTGTGACACAAAGACCAGGAATATCAAGATCAGTGTCACACGTAGTATATTCCCAAGCGGAGGTAAATCTTCCAGAGAAGTTTTCATTCTTTTTCTCATACCTGATTGAATAGGCCACACATTCAGGGATTTATGGGGGAAAATTCTGATGTTGGAAACAACACTGTGAAACACGTGTTTTCTGCCTCAGCTCATTGTTTGGATATTCCAATTTTCGCCAACGCTACGAGACCACACAACATTTAAAATAAGCACGCATTTCTGTGCTCAAAGATCATTTATGTGTTGTAGATCGTATCTGTTTTAGGCTTCTTTATGTCTCTTTCAAAATCCCAATTTTTCCTTTGTTGGATGGTTTTCGATTTGCATTCATCTATCCTGGGTCATACTAATCGTACCCTTATGGTCACCTGTGCAGATGGTGAGACAATGTCTATTAAAATATTTGTAACTGCACACTAATCTGATTAATTGCCTAACTCGTCATTAAATTTTTCTTGTATAGTTACTTCACGTATATCTTGTAGTTCTTTTTGTCTTTGTCTTTGGGCTATCACTTGCTGGCTCTTGAAATATAAAATATCAATTTTCATATAAATCTGTAAGATATAAAATATATATTTATGATTGCCGCTTCCACCTACCAGACATTTTGTAAGCCGTTTAAAAGGGCTACTGACTGGGTGGGATTAATCGTATATTGTGTGTATTTGTTAATAGTTTTACCAGTTTACATCACAAAACATATACTTAATACAAAATACATTGTATCAAGGTTTCTAAACAGACTATGAAAAACCTTGGGGTTACATAAATAAACAAAACAAACCCACATAAATAAGTATAGTTAAGTTTGGCAGTTTTATTTTGACATTAAGCATAAAACATAAGTTTCAAGTAGGAGTTCACTCATCATACTAGAGATGCGTTCAATTTTATGCGGACGTGTCCACATTTAACTAATTAATATTATGCAGTAATTAACAGCAGTACATTATCAAACTAAATTTAACTAAGACTAAATCGAGTTTCGTTACTAAGGTATGAGATATGAGGTATGATTAACTGTTGCTAAAAGATTTAATTAAATCGACTTCAAATGCCATTAAATAAGAAAAACTGAAGTTGAACTGCTAATAAAATATATTTCAGGAGCTGTAAAATGGTTAGTTCTCTTATTTAGTTATATTTAAAATACAATAAATAGTGTGAAGGCCTTACCTGGCTAAGAACCTAACAATTAATACAACACACAATATATAAATATTGAGTATTTAAAAAATCCTTTGGAGTTACCAACACCAAGATGACTATAATTGATATAGCCAAGCTTGAGGTAAAAACTATTTATCTTGCTCAAAGAGAAAATACTAAAAAAATACCAAGAAAAAATCCTCATGTAGCGTATTGTTAGTTGCCTACCACGAGGGTTTAGAGATATTTAAATAACGATCCAGATAACTATCAAAGTTTTAGTCAAAAATAGATGGATTTTACTTACAAGTTCTTAAATAGTACACTTCTATATTCGTATTCCTTTTTTCGATAACAAGTAATTATTATTATTATGATTATTTTTTGATAGGCTCAGTAACGAAGAATCATACATCTTTTTAAAATATAAGATAAACCGAGGTATCTATTCGTTTATATAACCAAAATTTATCTTATGGATTTATTTAGGTCAGATATACCCATTTGGATAACCAAAGAGGACCTTATGGATACCCATACTAACTACAGAAAAAAAATATGGATATTTATTTGAGATATAAAAATCTACATCTCGTGGATGGTCATTTTTTAGCAGTAGAATCTAAATAATTTATAAATAGGAAATTTAACCGTGAAAAATTTAATTTAACCCTATATACAAAAACTGGGGCTAACTCGATGTGATAGTCTAAATCAGTATTGACTAGTTAATTTTATTTTTAGACTGATTTTCTCTTCTATCTTATACTATTAAATTTAATAACGCAATTAATTATAAATCAGTGTACCTTGTGTCTTGGTAGTTTAACGACCATTTTGTTGTCTCAGCCTTTGTGAATAAGTGTTACTTGTATGTGAATAAAAGCATTCCTTCCGGGAAACTGGTGTTTTATTCTACCCTCTATGAAGTTTTGTGTCTGAATACTACCTCAAAGCAGAGAGAACTGTAGCCATGCTGGATCAGTCACCTAAGCAAGCAAAGGTAAGTGACAGATAAGTTTAAAAAAACTAATAAGTAACATATGAGAATGGTTTATGGAATAAATTACAATCTTAAAATTGTTTACTGGTCTAAGTATTAACACCAATCAGTTCCATTTTGTTTATTGATTAACTGGACTAAGTTTCTTTTTATGGAAAATTTAGGAACATTTTTTAAGTTTTTTCTTTTAGGAAAATGTTTAGACTTGAATTCATTTGAATATAGCTCAATACCCTTTAAAATAGAGTAAAAGGCAAAAGCTAATATTAAAAATGTATCATTAAAAAAATTACTTAACCATTGTAAAATGTTTGAATTTTGGAACGGTGAAAGTAGAAAAGTGCTTCAAAAGTCGAAATAAAAATCAATATGTTTTATATAGATGAAACTTTGATTAATAACTTAGCTAATTAAATGCAAAAGTACAACGAATTCATGTATAAATTTGTCAACTAGTGACGGAGATACCTACTGACAGTCATCGTCGCTATAAGAACTCCAGAATTTCGGCGCTACTGACTGACATTGTAATTTAAAATTGGATAAGTCCAAGGACATTTAAATAAAGGGGACTATGCATGTCACAGTCTATTTCATATGTTGGGTGAAGCTAGGCGAGGGGAAAGCAGAGGGCTTTATTTTCATCCAACTGATGCGCGCGATTACATCTCCAATGTTGTACATTTTGGATGGGTCAAAATAAAATATTTTATAGTCCTAAGTCAATATATTTCAACAGCTACTCAGTATTTTTATAATAAATATATATAATATTTTTATAACTTCTTGGAATCCCAATAACTGTAACCATTTCTTTCTTGTTGCACCATCCCCAAGCATCCTAAAAACGTTCACATTTCACTTTTAGAATACTGAGGCAAATTTTCAGTAAGACATAAAAATATATTCCCAAAGGAGAACATCAAATGGTTGAATGAATGCAACTTTCAGTTGTTTGCATCTTTGGTATTTTTATGTATAAGTGAACCACTACCATATTTTTGCTGTTGTATTTATTCAGTTTTTATGCTCGTGCATTTAGTAAAATTGTAAATATATTTTTGAAAAGGTTTTTGTCGTAGAAGAAAATGAAAATGATGAACGATTAAAATTTGTAATGTTGGGTATAAGGGATAACATTGAAATACCTATAAATATATTAAATATAAATAATGTCTGTAACTTATTTGTGGTGCAGCATTTTCCTTTGATTTTAATGGCCAAACGTGGTTCATATTATTGTTTTCTTACTATTTCAGCAAAAATTTTAAAAAAATACCAAGTCAGTTTTATAAAATTTTACCGTTATTCAAATAAAAGTTACCCACACGCACGACAATGACCACAGTTGCATATACATTCCAAAGTCACCTTGAACACGCTTACCTGTGGAAGGATAGCTGATGTGGATGTTTATAATCCAATTTCTTACAAATTCTGCACTGTCTAACCATATTCACACCTTAAAAGTTTATCCAAAATACATGTATAAACACTAATCACGTTTCACTTACTAAAATCACAACTATTTTCTCACAAGAGACGCCATATTCTGCCAACCACGGTAGAACGAACGAGGAACACGCTACACATTATTGCGTAGTTGCCAAGTCTTCAAACATGGCAAATATGAAAAATGAAAAATAGTTTAATATGTACAGAATTTAACAATATTGTATGCATAACTTAATAATACTATCCTATAATAATAATTTTCACAATTGTGATGAAAATTGCGATAAAAATATTAAGTACATTTCCAGTATAATTATACAGCTGACAACAATGATACAATTAGACTGTGAATAGACCAGGCTTCATCTAGAAATGTAAATAAATAAGTCCCCTTTATTTAAATGTCCTTGGATAAGTCTATGTAGTCCCAATGAGAATTCCTATTAATACTATATATCAATATTCGCGGACTTCTTATCAAGAACATTTTCCAGAAAATGGAAAATAAAAATGTTTCCCTCTTGTCCTTTCCAACTGCAGACACACTGTAGTGTAATTATTCATTAAGCATTACAAAATTATAATAAATACTAATAATAGTCATTGAAAAGTTTATTTCTAAATGAAGTTCTAGATACATATTTATTCGTGACCATGACACGGTTTAGGGGTGTTAAAAAAAAGTGAAATATTATTCTGAAATACATATAAATATTTTTTTTTATTTGCAGTGTGTACTATTTTAATTTATCGCAAATTAATTATATTGTACTGTCTATACAAGACTAGAAAATGATTTGACACGATTAATGCAAAATCGGCATTATTATTTTAAAAAAATCAATTACCGTATCGCGATAATATGTCAAACCATTTTGTTTTTACAACATATACTGAAATCTAGAAAAACATTTGCCAACGCATTCCAAAAATATCGTATTGCTGATCTAATAGAGGCCTTGGTTAGTTTTATAACTGTTGCACACACTTCTACACACAAAATCATTTTGATTTTTATAAGAGTTTACGGTTAATTTAGTCGTAAGTATTCATCCAATCTATACCAACTTCTCGGTGTCATATATTTTTAATCGTTGAGTTTATCTACGGATTTACTATTTATAGTCTTTCATAATATTCTAAATTAAGGCAGGTAAACTCTATTCGCAAAACAAATAATGCATGTGCGTTGAGTGGAAACATAATATTATTTGAGTTAAATAGTGCTGAATATAAGAACAATCCATAAAAAAATCGGGGTAGGGGGTTAAGGTATAGGAACAATTGTAAAACTCAATTAATTTTTTAGCAGAGTAAAATATGAGTGTACAAGGATTCACAGGCATCGTGCAAGGCCCACTAGCCCAGTATTTACAAATTTCACTAAAGATAGGAGGTGATGTAGCTCAACACAGCCAACTGGTGAACCAGGCATTCAATGCACAATTACAATTTCTGCAACTGGCTAGTCAGTCAGGAAAGCCGGCAAGTCAGAATGACCTGATGAATTTTTTGAGACCAACAAGTGACTGTATCAGTGCCATACAAAATTTTCGAGAATCAAATCGCACTTCTGCATTTTTTAATCATTTGTCCGCCATCAGCGAAAGCATACCAGCGCTGGGATGGGTCACAGTGGTAAGTACTATAAAAAAATTAATTTAATATAAATTTAGTTCAGTCCTAGTATAGCTTACGTTCTAATTCGCGCTACAAAAAAAACATTAACTTCCCAAATGCTGTAATAAATACAACAAAAACCTCTCTGTACCTCTCTTATTGGTATTTTAACGAGGTTTCGAATTAATTCTAAATATTTTCGTAAATTCTCACAAATAAAGTTAAATATAATATAAAATGCAGTTATATAATTTATCCTGGCCGAATTTCGTGTTGGTCTACGTCCAAAGAAACGCTATAGCTACGAAAAACATGAATAGATGATCATCTGCCTGAAGGTTTGCAACATTAATATTTTCAATATGCCAGGTATGTGTTTCTTATTTCTTTACAAAACCCAAATATTTTAATCAAAGAACGTTTCGAGACTGGTTGGGCAAACTTAAAAATTAGTTCGGATGGTCAACATAAATGAAAAATTGTCCACAAACCTTTCTCGTGATACGCGGTGTTAAAATTAAAAAAAGAATCGTTTTCTAATACCTCCAGAGACGCTCAGTATGATGATAAATCTTAGGCTAATGATTTATCCAATTAAATGGAAATATTCGCTTGAGTTCGTATACAGAGTATTTTCTAAAACTAATCGTAATTTAAGTTGGATCATTTTGGACTAAAAGGCCTTAATGAACCAAGGTTTTAAACCCACTGGTTTTCAACGGTTTCCCCATTGGCGGAGACATTAGGGGGAGAATTCCATTGCCAACCCAAAATTACAACGTCACTATGTACATATTTTGGAAACGCTCAGTGTTCTAAGAAGAACTGCTATATTTCTATTACTCTATTACTACATTTAAAAGACTAGCGATTTTCGATAGATCATTCTTTTGCATTTAAAATTAACTAATCTCACAATTAAATTAAATTTAAATATTTTTTAGGACAATTACTTTTGTTATGTTATTGATAAAAAAAAGGTCTATAAATAAAAACTTGGCTATTTTCCATTTTTATAACTCACAACTTACATACCATTCTTATTCAAAATTAGTCATCTCAGTTTCCGATATGTGGGAAACAAACAAATTTAGGCCTTATATGCTCCACTAGTAAGGTATAACTAGCACTAGCACCTTACTGATGAGCAAAAAAATGAATATTATTTTTGAAATTCTCATCTGAAGATACATAAAACTGAAATTTTCAACTTGACTGGTGAAATGTACAGCCAAAATTTCGTTTAACTGTGACACCCTGTAGACTGACAGGGAACCACATTTGTATCCCATTCTTAATAAACCTTTTTAGTAGTAACGTCACATACGCCAATTAATAGGCAACCCCATAGTGCACATTGTTATGAAGAATTTCTCAATATTTTTAATAGATCGATTTTCGACCTTATGTACTTTGGACATAAGTGCCAAAAAAATGTCTTCTTTGTCATGACTTAAATATCGCGATATTCTGGCAATATTAGAAATATTTAAAAAGTTTCAAACCTCAAGTGACAAACTAATAGAATTATAGAATTTATATATTTAAATTTATAGAACATTGACTTTTATAGTAATTAATAAATTAAAATTATCAATGTTACAAATTAATGTTAATGAGCATGCGCATTAAAGATGATTTAATGTAAGCGAACTAGCTTCGCAACAGGATATCATTCAAGAGTATGTCTATAATAAACCACTTGAAGAAAAAACACTCGATAAATACACTGACACAGTACAACGTCAAGAAACACAATAAAAATACTTAGTAGAACTAGAAAACGCCAAGATTAAACAAAACAAGGGAAAATACGCTAATGATGGCAGCGGTGACATATCAACAAGATCTCACCTGCGTATGAGGTTATTCTTTCCGAGCACGAGCATTAGGAATAACACGGCTAATGTTAAATTTTTACTTTATTTAAATTTAGGAATATTCTTTTATATCGTTTTTTGTAAGTTTTAAGTACATTAGTGTATCTATTTTACCAAACACGTGTTGGTTGTTCTTAAATACTTCTAAATCCTTGAAAAACAAATTTATTTGAAGTTGTTCATTTTTATAATATCTATGTATATAGTACACAAAGGTCAAATTTGGTCTGTACAATTTCATCTATGACAATTTGTTGCTGGTTGCCTAAATATGTGACGTCACACTAAAAGAGTCTATTGAGAGAGGCAAATTTAAGATGAAGTAAAAATCGTAATAAATACATTATAGAGTCCAGCTCCTGCACCTTACGTCAAGGAAATGAACGATGCTGGTCAGTTCTACACGAACAGGGTACTGAAAGACTGGAAAGAAAAGAATAAAAACCATGTAGACTGGGTGAAGTCCTGGATACAGACCTTAACTGAACTTCAGGCGTTTGTTAAGCAATTCCACACCACGGGCCTTGTTTGGGGTGGTAAGGGGGTTGCTGCTGCACCTCCACCACCATGTGCACCACTACCACCCCCTCCTCTTGCAGATTTCAATGCTGCGCCCACCGATCCTGGTGTTGACAGATCAGCGCTCTTTGCGCAGCTCAACCAAGGAATGAATATCACAAGCCGTAAGTATCTGCGTTTGCGCATGAAAAGATTTACCGGCAGGAAACCGATATTAAAAATAAATATACAAAAAATTATGTAGAAGAAACGACATAAGTTTTGTTTTAATAACCCCTTCTTCTGTTATAGCGTTAAAAATTGTTATAGGATTGTCAATGAGACTGAAAAAGTAACATTTTAAAATTAGTAACGTCTATACAAGTTGTTGCAAAAAAGTGTGGCACATATGTGTGCATTTTTTAATGGAACAATGATTTTTGAAAATATTTTTTGGACATTTAACAATTGCTCAATCAAATTTGGATATTTCATGTTTCACGAGCTAAATTTCCAACATTAGTAACGTATTGAATAATTAAAAGTATAAATTGTGCTGCGTGATGAGAACACTAGGAATCCTAAAAGGAAGGTTTGATCGTATTAGAAATGTGGAACAGAAAATAAATCTAGAAAAAAAAATCTGTTTTAAATGAGTTAGAAAAATAAGTAAGCATATGTTTAGAAATTGAAAATAAGAAATTGCAGTTTTCGTTGCAACACCCCTAATATAAAATAAAAATATTCTGGATGTTCTCAAATACTAATCCAACTTATTTTTAAGTCACATATTAAAAATGCCCAGTACGACAGCTCTAAGTATGCAATTAATATCGCTTAAAGTAGGTAGCACAGTATTTTCTTTGAATCTTCGTATCTCAAATGTCGTCAAACATAAAAGTAAACTTGTTAGTATTAGAATAAAGATATTCGACAGATTATTATTAAATGTTATAAAATATAGGGTGTCTCAAATTTTGTATAAGTATCGAAAATTTAATAAAAAATTAGTTCCTGATTCAAGACACATTGAAATTAATGTATGTTGTTAATGACTAAAAAATAATTTAAAAAACACACAATTTGCCAACGCGACATTTAAGAATAAGTGTCCCATTAAAAAGAAGCACTTTTTTACAACAACAGTAGAGCTATGATAGAAGAAAAATCTACTAAATATAAAAAAATATGTTATTTTTGGGTGGCCGATACTTCGATGTGATTTTCTTTTAGATTTAAAAAAAGTTACACCAGACATGCAAACACATAAGAACCCGACTATAAAGCAAGTGGGTCCTGTGCCATTCAGGGGGGGCGATTTGTCTGGAGGTCCTGGTGGCATTCAAGCGGACAAGCCGCCTAAATTTGTTAATGATGGGAAAAAGTGGATAATTGTAAGCATGCGCATGTTAACTTTTAAACACTGATTAAATTGACGTTTTAATATTTATAGGAATACCAAAAAGGAAATCACCAACTGCTTATTGAAAACACTGAAATGAGCAATGTCGTTTATTTATATAAGTGTATCGATTCAACGGTTATTATTAAAGGGAAAATAAATTCTATTACGATGGATTCTTGTAAGAAGACGGCAGTTGTGGTTGACTCTCTAGTGTCAGTGATAGAATTTATCAACTGTCAATCAGTTCAGATGCAGGTGAGATATAAATTCAATCGTTTGCACAGCTATCATTCTTCAGAAAAGAAAATTCATAGTAGTGCTATATTTATTGTAATATGTATTTGTAAGTAGTATAGTAATACGGATGAATTTGGAAAGTGGGGAAACTTTTTTAATTTTCATTTTATAGAAAAATGTGTGTAGAAAAATGTTTACTTATGTCCAAATGTACAAGGATGTAACTTTAAGTGAGTCAACATACATACACAGGGTGGTTCCTACTGCCTGAATGATTAGAATAGAGTAGCAATAATGCACTATATTCGGTTTTCACCGGTATCTTGCAAAAAAGGGCACTACCCAACCAAATGTAGAAACTAAATAAATCGAAGTAGGCCGATTGCTTCCAAATCATCTTACATCTTACATCTTTGTACATTGTATATTTCCATACGGTGTACGTAAAAAAAATTATCTATAAAGGTAAAAAATATTTAACCGTTAGAATGAAAATGATAATTGTCGTAATTGAAATCACCTTGTGCGAGTATGTATAGTTTTGCTCGTGATCTAAGCAAGTAAGATTTGTTATTGAAATACTGCATTTATTACAACTTAAGTATATCTTATTTTGATGTGAATTGCATTATACATATAAATAGATCTCCAAATATACCTAAGATTAAGATTTGTTTTGTAGGTGTTTGGTAAGGTTCCAACAATATCTATTGACAAAACTGATGGTTGCCAAATTTATTTAAGTCGGGACTCCTTGGATGTAGAGATTATATCTGCAAAATCTTCGGAAATGAACGTCCTGATACCCAAAGGCAATGGAGATTATGTAAGGAAAAAAAATGATTTTGTGCTTCTGAAAATTTTAATAATTTTTTTTGAATTTTAGACTGAGGTACCAATCCCCGAACAATTCAAGACGACTGTTTTACCAAATAATACTCTCTCCACAGTAGTAGTAGAAAGCAAAGGTTAAATTCACTGTATTATAAATATACTTAATATTTTATGTTTAATTGTATCAAAGCGTTTTCTAATCGAGACATTCTGGATAAATAAGAAATACTATACGGTGGGTTTATACTTATTTTGTGTATAGGTTCGGCTGAATTCGACTTTTGGGGAGTTTAATGTATTTCCCGAAAAGAAAGAAATATATATATATCTGGCTCGACATTCGACAAAGGTTGAAGGACGATAACCACATCTCAACATATTTATTCGTTTAACTAATACTAAAAAAATTAAATAGAAAAGTCAAATTTAAAATAAATCTGCATGATTTTTTTTTAAAAAGTCTTATCGAAGACCACCAATCTCTCTGATATTTACGCGTAACATAATTTGTCTATTCTGAACGATTATACCTACAGTGTTGCCGATGTGACATATAACTCTAACTTTTTATATAAAATAGGAAGAACGAAGATAAATGAATACATATTTTTTAAACAATAAGTCAAACAATAATATCTCCTTAAAATTATTCACGGTCTCCTCCTCCCCTTGCATTGATTTTATGTGTTATTAACTCAATGTTCAATTTGACTTTCGGGACAAGCGTTGCAGTTTGGCGTAAGCACACTAGTGAGAATTGCTTTATTTCATTTGGAACATAATTTTTGTACAAAATCAGAACACGCATTTCTGGCGTCAAATTTAATATTCGTTATTTGTGCTTTGTAATTTATTTTTTAAATACATTGTCCAGTTCTAAATTAAATTACTTATAGTGTGCTTATTAGTTAGTTGTGTACATGTGGATGGGAAGGTTATGACAACTTTAGATTGACAGGTTGTTCAGTAAAAGTGTTTCATTTTTATCAACTGTTTAAGTGCCTTCATTTTCAGTAAGCTTTTATTTGTTAAATTTATTTCTGAGATTTGCTTTTTAAAAGTGTAATGCAATTTTAAACGTTGTGAAATTAATTTAGGTTTATGGTTTCCTTTATTATGAAGAGAGCTAAAGTTAAATTAGGATATGTCCAGTTCATCAGGGTTTAATCCGCAGTATGAAACTACATAACTTTCTTGACATGTAACTTGGCATGCATTAATGATTGCCTTTCATGTAGACAGCGTTCTTAAAATGTACCTGTGGGCGGATGGACTTTAAAAAAAATCCGAGTGTATCGCTGAATTCTATGCAAAAACCAAATATTTTTACAGAAAAGTTCATCATAGAAAAGGGACCAAAATTGAAAATCATCCCGTAATTCTAAAACGAATACCAAGATGTGGTTTTATCATTTAACTTTTGCGGAAAATCAAACTACCATTTTTCTATTTTTTAGGAAATCGGTGAAACCCTCCAAAAGTGTAAGATTGGCCCACCCTGTATGGGATAATTCATAATTTTCTTTTTATAGCAATTTATTTCTTTGCGAATTTTTCTTTCAAACATCCCATATTTTTATGCAGAATTCAGATATCTTCACCGTAAAAAAATATATCGCAGTAAAAATGAGTATTATGGATCACCTGGTACAACCAACTTATTTTTCAGATGTCAAATGTAATATTTCCACTCTTGCTAAAACATGTTTTGCTTTATAATAAAGCTTTATATTAATTTGTTAAATTATTTTCTCACACGTTTACCTGCACTGTCATGATAGGAAAATTTTCCTCTCCTGTTAAAACTCGTGGTGACTATCACTCAACGAATGTCTATTTATAGACTCGCTATATCGGCTAATCAAATAATTAGTCACATGTGATAAAATAATCCTTTGGCTTATCCTATTATTTAATTCTGTCAGTAATCCTATAAAACTTAATCCACGGTATTACACCTTTTAAATTTAGCTCTAATAAAGACAATATTTAAAATATCTAAAAATATATATTTAAATGAAAAACAATACACTTTCTAAATTCGACGAACATTATTATTTTGTACTAACAATAACTTTTTTATATAATTGTGTGGTAATATCTTCTATATAACATTTATACAATATATTTGGTGGCTACGTGTGTACATGGCGTGCGTTTAAGCAAACGTATTAATTTTAATTTACTTTTGATTACTTGTTATCTAAGATAATTCTCCAATAGGTGCGTTTTTGAGCCACAAGTCGTGAAGAAATGTATACAATCTGTCGCTAACTGCAACCTAAAACAAATATTTATGTTAGAGAACAAAAAACGAAGTTAATGCATTCGTACAGGGTCATCAGTAAAGTAGGCGTTATATGGGAAACATATTTAACACCAATGTTAAAAAAATCTTTCAACTTCAGAGGTATAGTCTTTCCGATATCAACTGAAGAACCAAGAGGTTGGCAGTATGTACCAGGTTACTTCTGCAAGAGTCTAGAGATCAATAATTTTCCAAAAGTTAGGTAAAAATAAAGACGTTGGTGTTTTTGGAGATGAAATAGTGACAGTTACCCCCTTAGAAATTACTTTTTATGCAAGGTGCAGAATTTAAATAATAGATGAGTTCAGCCTAAGTTTAAAATATGAGTGATATTATACCAGAAAGACCTTTAATATACAGGGTGATTCACAAATGGTGACCAAAATTGAAAACTCGTATTCTTTGGTGAATTTTAAGGGGAGTCTTTCCTATAAAGTGTTTATCTACAACGCGTCTTTAAAAAGATACAGATAAACTTCAAAACATATTTTGAAATTTTTTAAATAATTTAAAAACTAGTAAGTGAAATATTTTGAAATTGGGCACGTTATGTAAATCCTAAAAATGTCAGAGACAATTTAGGCTACCCCTAAATGTATACATTATATCAAAGTGTCCCACTGTATATATATCGGGTGTCCCAAAATTCAGGCAAGATTTGAATTTGGCGCCATTTGTGATTATGAATAATGATAATGAAAAAAAAAGACAGCGTGGCAGCTGACAGTTCAAGGTTATTAAAAATGCAGTACTACATGAAAAAACAACGCGCATTAGAGAGGAGCGTTCTTCATCGGACCATTCTTCTTCGAAAATGTGGCTGAGCAAGCAATAGCAGTGCTCGCTATTGCGACATAATAATCTAGTCTTTTGTGCCTAAATTGCAAAATATGAATGAAAACGAAATTTGGTTTCAACAAGACGGTGCCACATGCCATACAGCCAGAGAAACAATTCAATTTCCTGGTCGTGTAATTTCCCGTTTTGGTGTTCAGAATTGGCCGCCCAGATCATGCAATTTAACGCAGTCGGACCTTTTTTTTAAGTCTAAGTTTTATGCCAACAAGTCCACGACCACCCAATATGCTATTCCATACATAACCCTATACTGTATGTTTTATGAATCAATACAAAAATTACAATTTATAATTAAAAACCTATTTTCTGTTATCGTGAATTTTGGGAGACACTTTACCTTAAACGGTGTCGGATTTAGATTTCTCTTTATATCCGGTCTTAAGGTCTTTAGAGTAGTTTGAACCCTTTCTTTGATTTGCTGCAAACTCGGTAATTCCTGACAGATCTGTCCGTCTTCCCAATATAAATTTAGTAGTTTCTCCACTCTAGATGGTATCACATACGCCCTTTTTGATTCTTCGAAGGGATGCCGACAGAGAACTTTTTCGTTTACTTCTGGAGGTGGTTCTATAGACCTCTGCAAGAGATCTACGAGGGCGTAGCCACTTTCGCTATAAAGACGATAAGCATCCTTACATCCTGGCATGTTTACTTTACCTACGTCTTGACTGAGTTTAATTCTAGAAAAAAGATTGGAAAAATTAAACCAATTTAAAAATTGCATTCGCTACAGTAAGCATAGTAACAATAAATTCGTTACTAGTACGGAAACCAGTAGGCGTTTGTGGGCGGAATCTTCAGACGCAAACTTATTTGTGTACGGTCTGTACTCATAATGCAAAATATTAAAAATTATTACCAAGGAACTATCTATTTTCTCAGCGTGAGGTGTTCGTGGTTAGGCAGAGCGAGATTTATAAAATCCTGTATTTATTCTTGGATATAACTGTTAAAAATGTCTCATTCATGATTCATGCTATGTGTATCTAATACATAAATTTGGATAACATTTTCCTGATTTAAGCCGGTATCAGTGTAAGAGACATATTGACAGTCAAAAGCGTTAAAGAAATCAACTCTTACAGCTGCCAGCTGGGTATTTTTATTATTTCATCTAATTTTTATGTTCAATTTAGATTATTTTGGCTGAAAAACATATAACTACTCTAAAGCCACCGTATACATCACTTGAAGGAAGAAAGTGACAGATATACATGGACGGAAAATATTACGATAAACTAAAGATAAGGAAAGTGAAAAAAACGTGTTTTAATGCACATTATAACGCCTGATAAAGCAAATATGTTGCATTTTAAGCTGACAAACACACGTGTTTATATGACATACTGCATAATCTATTTCAGTGATATGGATATACAGTGTGTCCACGGATGGAGTTAAAAACAGGAAAAAGCTCTTAACTTTTCATTTTATGAAGAAAAGTCATTCTTGTTAAAAATTTCTGTTTATATTCAAATATACCAAAATGTAGTTTTAAGAGGATCAACACCTACATAGGATCACCTAAATAACAAAGTCGATCATGTATAATTAAAAGGTAATTTTCATTTCTCAAGGAGCAATCCTTGTCTGGAGCAAAAACTTATTTTCTGTGTAGGCAAAGTGCCCTTCTTAAATGAAATATCAAAAGAATCATTGCGAATCTTTATTCACAATAAATTTTAGGACCATACAGCAAATATGATATAATCGGTACACTTTCGATACTTTTTTGTTTAATAAATCATTGAGTTGTAAAATCACCGTCGACTGAAACTAAATTTACACAAAAGCTTCACCTTACAAGTTGAAAAAATCAAAGCGTACTTTCAAATCTGGAATAGAGGAATAAATTTGAATTTTGAACAATTTTTCCTACCTACTGAATTTTGTTGTCATTTTATATGAAAAAGACACTTTACCTATATAGAATTATTATGTTCGTAACAAAGCCTACCTAATTTTTCAGAAATAAAAATATGTTGCCATCCAAAATCTTTTTGTCATTAAGTCAATGCTAAACAATCTGGAGACACCCTGTATATATTAAATGTTGGGAAAAGACTGACTATTTATTCGTTTATCAACTATAATGTACTATTTATAAAGGAAACATTGTATATGCTGGTCTATATACTGTTTTCAATAAGAATTGCTTTTTTTAAAAAATGAAAGAGAAAAGTTTCCTATTTTTCCAATTCCATCCGTGGGCAAGCCGTATATTAACGTCCACCTTTCATTTCATTAAACAGAGACGCGTAAGTTTATTTTAATATATTCATCGCAAATAAATTATTTTAAAATTTCTTGATGACGCCACTGGTTTCGCAAATAAATGTCAAATTCTTATTATGGCGGTATAGATATGAGTCATCAGAAGCAAAGAGCGTGTACCTTTGGCACCGGTACTTTAACTAGTTTAGACGGTATTTATAAATAGACCGTTTGCTACTGATTATTCGTGCTCCATTTCTTCGTAAGAAATCAGTTCGTAAATATTTTCAAAGGAATAGTAAATCACGTGAAATATACAATTCGAAATGTTGGTTCAGTAATAATATACCCATGTTTCCTGAATTTTAATTAAAAACCGTTAGTTACTTGATACGTGTGTTTTGATTTCCATTCTCTTAACCTACCTAGGGTATCCATTCAGTTCTACCATTTTGTACACACAACCCAAAGCTGGTTGTCTTTGGCAGGTCACTAGATGTGTCCCAATACCAAAGCAATTGATCTTGTGTCCTTGTTCATTCAAACTGAGTATAGTTTCCTCGTTTATATCATTCGAAGCCATTATCATTAAATTTTCGAACCATGGCAAATTGTATTTGACGGCTATTTCAGTAAAGAAATGACGAGCTATGTTTGACAGATATGCCAAATCTCCGCTGTCTAGTCTTATACCAACGGCACGATATCCCAAATCGTTCAAAGATAACGCTACGGCACAGAAGTTTAGCAGGCCGCTCCTGTAAATAATTAATTATTATGGAAATGATACAATGAGTCAGACTGTACATCAGATTGGAGTGTACTTTTGGAAATAAAGGACTGTTCATACAAACATTTTTTCAGAAATGCTCCCTCCTCGAACACCCTGCATGGTTTGCGTCAAACTATTGGATATGTAAAATTGTTTGTAAAATAGTTACAAAGAATAGTAGATTTTAATTTCCACCCTACAGCTTTTAGTCCAATTAACTAAGCCTTTAAATCGAAATTTTGCCAACTTGGCTGAATTTTTCATATGAGTTAGTTTAAGGTATATTATAACAATAAGTGAGAGTAATTTTTTGTTCAACCCCCGGCCAAGGGTGGAAAAAGATAAAACAAAGGGCTTTTTCAAGATAACTCAAAAAGGGTAAGAGCTAGAAAAATGATTGAATTTTGTAATTTTTTTTTCAATCTGCTCTAAAATATGTAACTTTTCTTTTCAGAGAAATAGATATATTTTTTAATTTTTAATAAGAAAGTTATAACAAAAAATCAAATTTTTAATCGTTAATTTTAATGATTTAACAAAATTAAATTTCTGAAATCTTCCCTTAACTTCTAGCCTCCCTAACTCTGTTAATTTTAATAGTACAAGAAAAAGCTAAGAGACCATTTTTATGTAGAATTGTCTGCTTTACAACTTTCACAAAACTTTTTTTCTAGCTCTTACCCTTTTTGAGTTATCTTGAAAAAGCCCTTTGTTTTATCTTTTTCCACCCTTGGCCGGGGGTTGAACAAAAAATTACTCTCACTTATTGTTATAATATACCTAAAACTAACTCATATCAAAAATTCAGCCAAGTTGACAAAATTTCGATTTAAAGGCTTAGTTAATTGGACTATTTGTTCCAAATTCATTGTTTCGAATCAATTGCGCATGCGTCTGACTGTTGGGAACTGTTTCTAATTCACAATTTTCGGAAATAAATGTTCATATAAGAGACCCTATTTATTTTCAGAGGTACTATCAGTTCTTTTAGGTCTGATATTAAATCTGACTCACCCTGTATCGGCATACAGCGTGGCCCACTATCAGAAAACACTTGTAACTTTTTTGTTTGTGAGTAATTTTTGCGTCAAAATTCGAAATATAAAATTGATTAAATATATATTTTTACATGTCACTTTTAATACCCCTATTTACTTTTAATTTGATGTTTCTGGAATATATGAAACCAGTGAATAAAACAATTTTAACTAAATAATTAATTTTGACCACTGAGTGACAATTAACGTATATACCATCGCTTTTTAATTACTAAAAATCAACAGATGCAGGTATAGTATGGTTTTTCCGATTTTCATAAATTGAATCGATAACAAACAAACTACAAGGGTGTTATTTTCCTTAGTGGACCATACAGTACATTTTCATATCGTATTATATACAGGATGATTTATTTTAATGTAGCAAAAATTAAAAGATAGATATACCCACAGAGAAATGTTCATAAGTGCAAAAATGTCTTCAGATCATAGCAATACTTTTAATAAAAAGATTTAAAAGTTTATCCATTACATTAGAGAAAGAGTTCTAACTGGCGAATAAGATACGATCACGTATTGTGTTTGCGGCATTGTTGATGACTTGTACTAGGTTTAATTTAGTTCACTACTGATTGGTTGAACATATACCAAGCTGTTCACGCATCTCCACTGTGGACGACGAACATCTTTCCAGGACATCCATGAAAGTCTAAAGGCAAATCTTCAAATAATTTGTAAAGACGCCAACTATGCGTTTCCTGTTAGCTCTAAATGATTTTATTAATCAGTTATTCAAGTAGTCGGAAAACGTGTGGATTTTTGTATGAATTGATTTACAAATAAAGGGATATCAAGGACATACACTTGACGAGTGACTGTATGACCTTTCTCATCTTCCTCAAGAATGTATGTTACACGGTATCTCAAAAGTATGTCCGGGCTTTTAATAAATCATCCTGTATGATATGTATTTCTTTTATAATCTCATGTTAAACAAAGCATGCACTACAAAATAATTGATAAAATGAATGTAATATACCTACTGTTAATAGTGATGATGATAATGATGATGAGATGGTGATCTAGAGAGAGAGCGGAATCGTATAAAAAGACGAGCCTTTAAGGGCTAACAGCGAATGTTCTGCAATAGTGATAGTGGTATGAATACCTAACAAGGACCCATTTATACTTTAAGCATTATTGCGAAGTTTTACAAATTATTATTCATTCAAAAGGTATAAAAATAAATGAACAAAATTTAAATAAAAACCATTTTCCGAAGGTTATCTGCAACATGTAATTTTTAAAAATAAGAGGCCCTGTTCACTTCATTCATTCTCGTCCATTTTATCTGTCGGGTAAAATTGTAGCAGAACTGGAGTATATAAGCGAAAACCAATGCTTCGCCTGTCGGTTTTCGCTCATATCTTTGCAACAACGTTGATCGGAACGATTTTGCCAGTCGAAAATGAACGAAGCTTCACATGGTACTACAAAAACTGGAGTTTGTTGCGTCTAAAACGTTTTGTAATGAACGAGGTGCTACGATCTGAGGATGAGTCGAAGACTTTAATGCATAATCGTGTAGTAATTAAATATATTCGCAGAGGTTGCAATTGCTACGTGACTACAATACAGAATCAGATAACTAGCACAGATGGGTAGGTACTTGACTATCTGCAAACATCATTTAATAGCATGTGGACGGAGTACATGATTCCTCCACTATTATTTGAAATCGAACAGGACAGGAACTGATAAAAATTATGTTTTCAATAACCTTCCTTCCTTCAAAATCTTCCTATCTATGATAATTTGGAAAACAAAGGAATAGGGAACATTCATAAAGATGAAGGCAAGTTTTGGGAAGTGATTCTAAGAGAAGTTTTTGTCTTGTCTTAGGGAGAACTGCTTTGGGAAAATTATATCTCGAAATTAGTCTGAAATATTTTACCACGATTAAAAATAAGAGAAAAAGTTTATATGAACATAGTCGGAGACTTGTCTCTTAAGGATAATACAGTCCCTCAAAAGTAAGTCCCTGAAACTTGTTTTTATCTGGATTTATCCGAAACTGTGAATTCGAAAGTGGAATCTAATAATAAAATATAGGTATTTTCTACAGTTTTGCTCTAGCTTTATTGTATGTGGAATTTTCCACTATTTGATTAAAAGATAAGTAAATTTTAAATAATTTTACGGGAAAAAGGTGCTTTTGTAGATAGGTTTCGTTTGGGAATAAATCTGATTTGAAAATTATATTATATGCCACAACGTTACTCAAAGATACGTGTAAAATAAGTTAGGTGACAGAAAACCTCAGTCATTATTCTATCTTTTTTGGAGATATGTATCTGGAAAGAACAAGTTCCAAGGGCTTACATTTCATTTATTATTTTCATATAAATTGTTCACCTTATTTTCAGTCGAAAAATATTCTAGTAAAACATAGCAGACGCTCTATATAGTGTTCTAAAAAAAACGTACCTTAAATTGAGGGGCTAACAGAACCTTAAAAAATAAAACGACTTTTACCCATACTCCATGAACTTTATTGCTTTTGTTTTTGAGATAAACAAAGAGAAAACAATGAGAAAAACAATGTATTGCATTTCAATGTCAGTGTGAATTTTTTACTATCTCATAAAAGTCTATCTTTTTTTGAGGTTAGGTTTTCGCATTGTCTGTCACATATTAAACTATTAAATTTAATTTTACGCAAAAAATGAACTGTTTCTGTACGAAATACGAATGATTGTGCCAAGGTCAACCAGTTACTATCAGTAAATCAGTTTCCTACGGAATCTGAACTATCAAATCAGCTGATCCCTCACGTCATTCTAAGAAAAAACTTTATATAAACATGTCCTAAAATGCTTAGTCTCCGACATACACACAAAACGTTTAAATTTTAATCTTTCTTTGATAAGTATATCTAATAAAGGAACTGATTTCTTTATCTCATAGACGTTTCAGTTGATGCCATTTCGTAACAAAATTAGGATCTCATCATGCCTCCAGAGGCGGAGCAGCGAAAAATGATCTGCACAAAATTAAAAAAGCACAATACATGTTCCTCAGATTACATAGCATAGACTGACGAAATTTTAAACCAGAAAGCCCACTATACTTTTCCTAAGGTTTAAGACGCGCTGCATAAGAAGCCCACCTCAGAATTGCTTCAACAAGTCAGATTTTCGAGATATCCTAACCTAAATGTGCAATAAATGCGGTTTTTCATTATATTTAAGGTTATGTTACATCACGAGGTAATTTTCCTCACAAAACTGGTTATGGCATCTAAAAGTGTTGCTCTTCCACTTCAAATCATTTCGAATCGTTCGAATTTCTTTTTCCTTTCCGGGACATCGTCTGTTGAATTTGATTAGCGTATTCGTCGATATTTGGGAATTGAGTAGCATCAGGTGAAGAGATAAAAAAAGCAGAAATCAAATTACAAACACGGAAATTTGTGTAAAATTCGACAAAATCTCCTTCATTTCTAAATTCTAGCATTTTCTATTCCTTCCATTAGATTTGGTTAAAACATTAGAAGCCAGTGGGATTTTGAAGACTAGTATTTTCAGATGCCGTAACGAGTTTTGTGGGAGAACATAATCTCAAATACAGAGAAAATCCATGTTTTTGTACTTTTCGAAAACCTGACATGAAGGATTAATTCTGAAATCAGATTCAAATTTAGACGGAATAATAACACAGCCCCACAAAAAAAATGGGAGGTCCGAGAGACAAGACCATGGTTTGTAAATCTTTTTGGGGTCGCTGAATCCGAATCCGGTGTCCGTTTGACCCGATTAGCTCTGGGTTGTCAGTTCAAGGTCAAATGTAGAGAATCAATTACCAACAAATCTTTACGTTTTTGGGATCGCTGAATCTAAATCCGGAGTTCATTTGACCCAATCAGGTCTGAGTTAAGTCAGTACATTTGCAACAATTTGCAGAAAATACAATCTCAAAAGATAAATATTCTAAGCTTCCTATTTAGCATCCATATGTACTTGCTTATACCAAATTTTAATGCAATACACTGCTTATTGAAAAAGATACGACCAAATGTTAATTTTAAAACATCTTTTAATTTATGGTACGCTTTTCAAAACGCTCTGTATGTATAGGACACCTACAGCGCATCACCCACCAACTAGACCTAGAGAACATGTGCTAAGCGCTCAAATATTCTAGCTAGCACAAGTTCATTCCATCTGTTCGGGTAACAAGACTGACTGTTGCCCTTTTAGGCATGCACCTAATTTACCCGACATGGTTACCTGTACTTGCTATGCGATTTGGTGCTGGAAGTGACTTTATTCATACAACAGGAATACCTCTGAACTTCGTACGTGTCAACTAAAGCCATGAAACCCTCTGGGAAAGCGATCGCAAACGATATTAAAGCTGCCAATTCCCCTTCGCTGGCTTCTACCGAAAATAATTTAAAAATCGGAAGTAGATTAGTCCTCCATGTCAAAGCCAATTCTAGGAGGTCGCGCGGTTTCCCTCCACACTTTGGTTCTAGGAAAATGTTTCGCAATTCGGAAAAGCCGTTAAAGGATGTTATGTAGGCGTGAGCATGAGTTCCCTTTACAGGGATGTTAAACAGTTTCCCTGCTAAAACATTGCTTGTTCCATCAAAACCACCTAAAACATTACAATTTCACAATCTCGTCTAAGTTATAATTTATGAATAATTTTAATTATATCGTTTAAAGGAATTTAACAATCGAGTCTTATAGAAAACACGGATATTAAAGTCGGAAGAGATAAATGCAAGAAGCTTTCCATAATCATTAATGTAGTACTTAAATGTAAAATGATATGACGATTTGAGTTGATAAATTATGCATATAATACAATTCACTACCAGGCGCCGCAAATCTGATGTACACTGGTACGAAAATTTTAATAACTCCACACAATTCCCGTTAAAGTTGTCGGTTTATCTGCAATTCGTTATTGATTAGAAATATTAACTGACACCATTGGCGCCTGGTACCAAGTTTGCTGTCATTATACAACACGTTAGTTTCGATTATCATATACTTCACTTGCCTATATATGAATATTTTGAGGCCGACAAGCCCCCGTCTGGTCCTTGGGCTCTTCTAAGTCCAAATTCGAACAGCTTCATGCTGCCAGCTGCAATTCTGTATCTTGCCGCGTTGGTCGCCATTAAGCTGTAATACAAGGAAAATACGTGCTAACAATTCTCTACTAAACTCTACTAAAAATATTCTTCCGATCACATTTCCTTGAAAATTCAATATTAACGGAGTTACATAACCTCAAAGTTGTTTCTTTTAATGAATATTTTGCTGTAACTTTCTTTTCAGTCCATAACTTTTTTATATGAAGTTTTTCCAGGTCGAAATATTTTAAAAGGGATATTTTAGAAGAAAAAAACGTAATTTTAATAAATTAATTTTTACTAATTGTATCCTCAAATGTTTAAAAAAATATCCATAAAAAATAGCCGTGAAATTATGTAACTCTGTTAATATTGAGTTTTCGAAATTGTGTTAAACTTTTTGCACTTTTTCTGGAACAATTATTTATGATAATTTGTCATTTACGAATTTATTTTGTTTTATTTGTCTCAGATATTTTTTTGTGATCATTTCTTTAACGTCGTTTTGAAATGTCATTGTTTCTTTTTTATTATTTGTGGTAAAAAGGCGGCCTGGCCTACTTAGACTCTAATCATAAATTGAAGTCAGGTAGATAGTAACTTTTTTGTAGATAGTAAATGTTCTCGTTATCACACTTTTATAAATCGCCCTGTGTATATAAAATATTTGATAATAATTTACTGATTACCCGATTCAAACAATGAAATACATATAACCAATAGGTATACAGTGCGTTTTTACAAAAACGCTGAAATACGTCAATTAGTATAGGTATAAGAATTGTCGTTTTGTCACGTTGCTTAAACCTTTTTTGCACTACCCAATTTTTTAAGCATAAAATGATAGTCCTTTTGAAGGGAAATGCGTCGATATAGGATTTGGCCTACTTTACTTCGACAGGTGCGAAAAAACGCCTTAATTTAATGTAAAGAATGCGAAAGAGTTTTTCAAAAACAATAACTTAAGAGTTTTTAATTAAACAATTTTATGTGACTAATGGGCGAGTCGATGTTCGAATTCATCCATGCCTCTGATTAATTTTTTCTCTTATGCGCACGTTTAAGCCCTCGATGGTGTCCGGTCTATCAACGTAAACTCTTTTTAAATAGTCCCACAAGAAATAATCTAGGGGAGTTAAATCGGGTGAACGTGGTGGCCACTCAATGGGTCCTCTTCAACCTATCCACCTATTTAGGTTTATGACATAACGCAAAAAAGGTTTACGCAACGCGCCAAAACGACAATTCCTATATACTAATTGACGTGTTTTAGCGTTTTTGTGAAAACAACACAAAATAAATTACGAATTTTTTGCGTTACTTCTGGGACGCACTGTATAAAGAATTCTCATGTATTTCGTCATCCCAACACTAATTTGTACCTAAATAATTATTTAATTTGCTTTGTTGTAAGATAACAGCTAATTCGTGTACAAAGCTTAGTTAGCTTAACATTTATTGTTGCGTAAGTAAAAAAAGTGTTTAAGTTTCCATTAGATCTTCAGGTACTTACATAAGATTAAATTTAATTGTGTATTTTGCTATATAAACGAATAAATATTAAAAAGCTGCATACCAGGTCTGTTCAGAAAATATCCGAACGTTATTTTTTTAAACTTTATTATTAATTTTATATATTATTGGAACTTGTCTCCTTCAAAGTACTTTCCTCCCCTATTCACACACTATTCCCAGCGGTGTTTCCAATTCTCGAAGCAGCTCTGGATGGCATTTGAAATGGCCTTTAAGGTCTCCGACGGATTTGCTGTGATGTCATCAACAGTCTGAAAACGACGTCCTTTCAGCACTGATTTTAATTTCGGAAATAAGAAAAAATCGCAAGGAGCCAGGTCTGGCAAGTAAGGAGGATGAGAGAGAGCCGCATTGTCATAGTGCAAGAACCAAGAGTTGTCTCGCCACAACTCTGCTCTCTTTTTGCTAACCTCTTCTTCAACTTCTCTGACAGTCAATCGGCGATTTGCACACACCAAATCTTTGACTTGCTGAACGTGTCAGTCATCAGTTGAAGTCGAACGTCTTCCTGGTCGAGGATTATCTTCAACTGACTGGCGACCACTTTTAAACCGTGAAAACCATTCGTAACATTGCCTACGACCCAGAGATCATCTCCGTAAACTTGTTTCAAAAGTTGAAACGTTTCTGTTAAAGTTTCCCCTAATTTCATGCAATTTCCATTGCACTGTTGTTCAAGAAAATCGCATATTTAAAAAATCATCACTAACATTAAAACACGTTACACTCAAACAACGAAAACTAATCGAGATATCAACAACCCAAGAACATGTGGTTACAGAGGTTATGCGCAACGCAGTGCTGCCAACCGCATATAAATAAATATCTCCATTAGCGTGTAATTGAAACAGTTCTGTTATTTTCTGAACAGACCTGGTATATATTTCAAATGCGTATACTAGTGTAAATTACGCATCGAATAATCTACAGCGAATGGCTAACTAGTAATGCACGATTTTTAATTTATTTACGAATAACATTATTTTCACTTTCGTAATGAATAATATATTTACGTCCTTTATCGATTGTTTATTTATAATTTTTTATCGGAATGCTAACAAGGAAGTTTCTTGAGTTGAGTTGAGTTTCTTGAGTTACAATATACTGATATAGTAAATATCTACAGGGACCGCAACAAGAATTTAATTAATACAGAGATAATTTCTTTTATTGGTAATTTACACAGATAATTAATAACTTGAGTTGCTGTATTGTAACTCATTTACAATTGAATATAACATTTATATACGAGTAGGAAAAATTGTATGTTCAACCCAAGATACAATAATTTTTTTGTCTAAAAAAGTCACATACCTGGCATAGTTCACCAAAGTCAGTAATGTGGTTTCCAGTAGTTGAACTATAATCAGAGGTCCTTCAATTCTCATTAGAGGCACCCTGAAAATTAAACACATTTGTCCGTCAACGGATATTTTTTTTGGTAAGAGTATTTAAAAATACATATTTAAGGAAACTACCTGGGAAATACAACAGATCCTTCCGCTATGGCAAATAACCGAACATGTTTCGCTGAAACAGACTTCAAGTATTCATAAAATTCATCTTCTATGCTAGATGGCAGTGTTTCCTTAAGGTATTTAATATCTGAAATAATTGTTATGTTAATTGAAAATAAAAAATCAGCCACAAGATAGTAACGATATTCAGTATGAAGACGTACCGCTAGCTGAGTAGTGAAATTTTCTCAAAAATTTTAAGCATTCTTCTAAGCCAGCGAAAATAGTAAACTCTCCTTGGAATGGATTCTTCCGAAAGAATAAATCAAATACGGCAGAGTCTTTGATTTTTCCCGACTTCCAGTAAGCATAAGCCATGGTAATTTGATACAAATCTGAAATCAAACAGGTCTTACTAAGCATTTCCTGTCGTATATTGCGGGTTTGTTTAGGCTTGGAAACCGTTTTCAAAACATTCTCTCACGATTCTACTCAGAAAAACAACGATAATTTTTCATAAACTATATTAGCAGAGTTACATAATCTTATGTTATTTTTTTAATTAATATTCTGCCATATATTTCCTTAGTTTGTGATTTTTTCAAAATTGGTACACAAAAAATAAAATATTTAATTTTAAAGATCGTTAAAAAATCTAATAAAAAAGGTCCTTTTATTCCAAGTCGGGTAAAAAACTTTTTCTTTTCCAAATTATTACAAAATATATAATTTCTCTGAGCGCAGGTCTATTTTTGTAGATTCTGGTCATATTTACGACATGTTTCGTCATTTATGCCTCGTTTCGTAAAATTCTTTTGACGAATAATATTCGAACGGCATCTGGCTTAATATTAATTGTTTACGAGAGAAGAACGCATTTGATGTCATACAACAATATTTTGCGACCAATCCCGGAAAACCATGATAATTATTTTTAAGTTACACAATTTTTATAAATAAATTAATGTAAATTAAGATGCCATGACAGATTTTATTGCTTATAATAATATAAAACGTAATTTTCTTTCATATTAAAATCCTGCTTAGTTTATACCGTAAAACAGATAAACTCTAACTGTTTTTAAGGGCTTATATAAAATATTAAATGGCGAATTAAAATATGAGAAAGAGAACCGTTTTGTAAGATAATTTAATTTTTTAAATTGCTTGAGGTTATGTAACACTGCTAATATAAAATTTAAAAAAAAAATCACTCCCTAGTTTTGTATCATTGTTTTCGAACGCCCAGTATTAGAGTACTTTCAAAAACATTCAAAAACCAACTACTCGAACATTTCTAATTGTTTCATATTAGACCTAATAAAATGATGTAGCAAATATTACAAAACTGTATTAAAAGTAATCAGGAAAGTAATTTTATTAATATTTTAAGGGAACCGGAACCTGAAATTATTTTATGTTGTTATCTACCAATCAAGCCTTTATCAGTTTGGATTATTTACTTTTATAATTGTCGCAAATAAAACTTTGAACCTTAAAGTAATTAAGTATAATGTGCGAATACCTAGTATTTAAAATGTTTGTAAATATAAATTAATTAATGAAAAAATATAAACGGCCTAAATAGCTAGAGTAACAGAGGAAATTACCTGTGAGCAGAGGTTGTATAATCCCATTTTGGCCAAGACGCTTTTCGGTGGAGGCTTCTTGTTCTTCGGACATAACTGAACGGAATACTTTTTGAAATTTCGCACCTCGGTGATGTCAGAAAGCGCCACTACAACCGTGACTCTACAGCCCTCTGTGATTCACAATTTATTCGAACTGCAACAGTTGTACAGTGCGGCAATATTGATCACTACATCCGAAAGGTCACCGAAGGGCAAATAAAAGCAGATAAAGAAAAAAAAGTTAGATCAGCTCATTCAGGTTCAATTAAATAAAACAATTATTAGTAATTACTTCGAACAATGCAAATCAAGCCAACACTTGTTACTGCGGTGCCTCACATTTGCGTTATATCGCTGCATAATTTTATAAACTATATAACCCATTACTTCATTGTATTTGTGGGATTTGTGAGTAATAATGCATGACTTACGATTCCGTTTGTGTTTGTGAAGTCCCGCCATCAGAACTACTAGATGTGGGACAGTCTCATTGTATTTGATACACAGCACTAATACGTACGTACGGCGGCACGCAGGGGCGCACTCCGCCGTGCGTCCACTTCCAAATTAACAAAATACAACTGATTCGCTCGCTGGGAGCGTTCATTCAACCTGCAAAATTCCTAAATTTTTATGAACGATTAATAACCCCTACCGGCATCTTTATTTTTACCACTCTAAAAAAATCCGCTTTATATATACTATATGTAATTAAGTATTTAGTTGCAAAAAATTTCTCGCAAATCAATGTCAGATATTTCAGCAAATAACAATAAAAACCTGCACTGGTTGCATTAACGTTAAACAATTTCCAAACACCGAATTTAGCGAAGTGAGTCTAAATATCTTGGTAGGATGTAGGATTTAGGTTAATTCAATAAAACAATTGAAATAGCTTAGAATGCTGTATTTAACAATATTATTTACACTTTACCTAATTACATATGTAATACTGATAATGTTATCAGTCGTCATATAAAAAATTTTGCATTTAATACTCAATCATATTTATTTAAATAAATTTAAACAAAATATAATTATTTCATGATGTAATAGTAGGTATAGATTTTACAAAATAAAATTATTGCTCTAACAAAGACCTAAGTTACATTTTATATAATTGTAACGCTAACACGAAAGGGAATAAAATCGTATACAAAAGTGATCACAGTTCACCTAACTAAATTTTACCTAAATAAACTATTTAGGTGATTTATTCATTTTGTTGCATATAATTTTGACACACTATCAGTTATGGTGTCTTATCCCTGTTACCTACATTTTGGGACATATATTTATTTTTTTGGAGACATTCACAAACTTGTATATATTCACATTTATCCCAAAGTATTGTAATCAAATAAATAATTTAATTACAGCATTTTATAATCACAATAAAATATAATTTATGCAAAACCCATATATGTTATTTTATGTACTTCCTTGGATAAAAATAATCTGATTTGGATCAAGTTAGGTCAGTACTATTTTGCTTTCTCAAAAAAATACGGGTCTCCAAAAATTTTTTTTTATTTTTTAATTAAATGTTTCGTCGCTAAGAATACCTGAAGCAGTCTGCCATACCTTTTTGAGAAAATTCCAATGTTTTATTGTCACTAATTATTACAAAAAGTGTAGTTGCTGCAGCCACAGAAAAATTAAATTCAATTTTTTTAACTACATTTGTAGTTTTACATAAACCAATTGATTTTGTTTTTGATTGATTGATTTAGAGGTATATATCTCAGTAGGCTTTGACATACGAATATAAGTAAATGGTAAAAATGCAACAAGTAAATAAACTGACGCTTACATTTTCATAAAATCTTTACCAAAAAAAAACAAAATACTATTCGAGGTATTCAAAGTAACGTCTTCATTTTTGGGAAAAAAAACACTACGTTTTCATTAAAATATCTTAAAATATGACTGGGTTATCTTCAAAAATAAAACACATTATTTTTAAAGCTCTTCTAAATGAAGGAAAATTGTACTAGGGTAACTTGATCCAAATTCCTTTACTTTCGTTCAAGGTTATCCTTGAAGTAAGGTTCACTCGTTTCTGAAGTCCCTGTATATGCTTTTAACTTAACTTTAACTTGAATAGAATTTCAGTTAATTTAAAATATGTCTAACGTTTTCACATAAAAATATGCCAAGTTTAATGAAATTTAAAATAAAATCTGATTTCATTTAATTATTAACGCCGATACTGGTAAAGAACACTTGATTACAAAACTGGATATAAGTTTACCTACTAGCCTACTTTGATAAACTGGCGACCAAAGTCTGACTAATTTTAAATCAGCCTCACACTCTCTACAAACTAACAAGTATTTTTATTTTCAAAATATATAACAAAATAGTTTTATCTTTACACTACCATAACAAAATCAACCACAGATATGTTCATACAGTACAGAAAAACTAAACGTTCAAGGTTTTGGATACTTCAATTCGATTAAATTAAAAATATTTTTGTAACCAATTAATTTTTATCACTAAACTCGTTTTAATTATATTGAATTATAGTTGTATTAGAACAGCTATCTGGTAAATGATAAATAAACGCTGTCAGGTAATCCATGGATATTGCGAATGCACTACTCCCAAACAAATACCCTTAAAAAGATGTATAAACTTAACTAAATAAAATGGAAGGCGCTAGGAAGTGTATATTTGTAATATTATCGCATTATTTTGGCCGCACGTTCCCTGTCTCTCTCAACTTCAATGGGATGCATCCTCTTTCTGTGAGAAAAACAGTTGCCAGAACTTGCAAAAGCCTTCGGACAATAGGGGCATTGATATGGACGAGCACCTGTATGTTGATTGATGTGGAACTGAAAAATAAATTTAACTTAATTTATTTTTATTGTAAATAATATAAATCTCAATATATGCTTAGCAAACAAACAAAACTGAATTATTCGATGTAGATACAGTTGCCTATACGAGCGTCGACATTCAAGAAGGTGCTTTAGAGTATGTAAGGTGTTTTTTAAGTTTTTTAGACCAAAAAGCCTTGATGAACCAAAGATCTAAAGCCGCTAGTTCTCGAGGTACAAGACATCGAAATTTTAGAAAAGTATATCACATTTAATTCAATATCTCTTAAGGTGTGTAGACTGGGAAAACAAGGGCTAAGGAAATGAATTTCTTGCATTGGTATATGGTTATAGAAACAACAACCAGTGGCAGAGATATTGAGGGATACTATCATTAAGAGGCCCAAAATTTCGATACCACTGAGTATTTTACAAAACAAATGAGTGTATTTAATTTTAGTTAGCATTTCTATGGAAAAATATGTATTCATTTTAATATATTTGAGATATACAGGGTGTTCTGAAAGTCTGTCAGGAAACTCCGGGAGGTGATTCTACGGTTTAATCAAGTTACCATGCTTTAAGGGCCCCATATTCTTTAAATAGTGTTTTCCGCAAAGACAAATAATTTCAAACATTTAATAACTGAATAATCTAAAGCTTATCAAATAATAGGAATGTTATGTCATGCCACCTGCGTATTTTCAAAGACGCCGCAGTAAAACGAATAAACAGGTGCAAAAAACGATCAAACCATCAAGGTTTTAGGTACTGAAATCTACGAAAATACTAACTTTTTTAGACATAACTCCACATGTAAATATTCTTATAACATTTACTTGCATAGTCCTACATATAAAATTGTTTACTTTTATTTATAAGTACGTGAAAATAATTCTTAAAATGTGGGGTTAGGATAACAGAAAACGCATGTTTTACAAACGCTTTTTTTTAGTTATTATTTTATTTGGGTAAATTTAAATGGTAACAATGAATAAACAAAACATCAAGGATTTTATTTTTGTGCTTACTTTTGTTCTACACGTTTTACTTTTCAAGATTTCAGTACCTAAAAATGCCAGAAATTTCACCATTTCTCGCCCAGGGATATGGCCACCTTAATACGAATTTTAACAAGAATTGTTTTAAGCAGGTTTAAGTTTGATTTTTCACCATGATAATTTTTTTTCGGCCCTGTATGAGTACTGTGAAAAATAAGATGAGGATAATGAATTTACTAATATTATTTTATTTACTAACGAAGCTGGTTTTACAAGAGAAGGTATTACAGCATGGCAACTTGATTAATTGCGGAAAGAATTATTAAAAATTTGATGTTTAATAACACTTTAATGGCGATTTCCTGTTAAACGGTTACATTTATCGGCTTAGTACATATTTTTTTCTGCTATTGTTTCTCTTTTCAATAATCTTTAAATTTATGTGATGTCTAGCGAGAGAAAAAAGTTATGAACAAAATTTTTTTTTTGTTCTAGGTAAAGTGCCCTCTAGCGGCGCATATTGAAACCAAATGAAAGACTAATCGAACTTGAATTGAATAAGTTATTTAAATAAATAGAAATATAAAAAAAAATTACTTTGACAAGCTGTAATTTGCAAACAATTAACAATTCGAAAAAAATTTTCATTGCATACTGCTATTATTTTAATCCTTAGAATCACCTCCCGGAGTTCCCTGACGGACTTTCAAAACACCCTGTATTCTTTTCACAGCGAAAACTGTAGGGATTTTTTTGATGGATACAATTTTTAATATATGTGAACCAACGTCAAATAATTATGAATATAGAAATTTTGATTCTTTAAGAGCTACTGCCCCATTATACCTCAGAATATTTAAAATTGGTAGGCAAAACATTTTTTTTTTTGGATTTTTGAGGATTTCGAAAAAATATGCTAAATAATTTTTGCGAAGCAGTGACTGTCACTGTTTAGTGATTTTTTGTCAACAATTTGTTAAAGCATTAGCCCAATCAATCTTTACCAAATTTCAAAGATACTTAAATGTATTTTTTTTAAATTTTCACACTAAATATCAAAAACCAGCTGTTGAAACCTTTGATTCACTATATAGGACATTTTGGTCTCAAATGAATTAACTTACTTGGCTATTATTTTTTTCAAAAGTTAAAAACAAAAAGATTTAAAAGAATTAGGTTGTTCTTGAAACTAATATTTTATGAATATGGAACTTTTTTCAATTTTTTAAATTTAGCCGGTGGCGCATCATCTATTTACAATAAGGTCGTCTGTAATGATTTTTGCATGCCACTGGAAACTATACGTGTAAGATTAAAAACAATAATTGCTGTAGGTTTTCCAAATATGACTAAGCCAATAGTTATTTATTTGTTTTTTATTTTAACACCCCGTATGTTGTAAACGAATGGTATATTTATAAATTTTTATTCATGTTACAGTGAAAGACCCATTATTTTTCATTTTGTGATTAATTGTAAGACAATTAACAGTAATATTTAATTACGAAAAAACTACTTACTTTTAAATCTTGATTTCTTTTGAACGTTTTGTCACAAAGAGGACACTTGTGCGGCCTTAAGTCACTGTGGGTTATCGAATGAGCTCTTAGCGTACTGTTGGTGGGATATACTCTACCACATACTGCACAAGGATATTGAACTCCCCCGTGATATTCTTTATGCCGGAACAAATTGCACTGCGTCTTAAAACTAAAAATTTAAAATCATTTTATCATGCAATTTCACCACAAAGAAGACTATTACTTACATCCTTCCGCAAATATCGCAACCGTAGCGTCCTTTTGGCCTGTGAGTTTCAAGATGAACCTTCAAATTACCTTTTGTCGATATAATTTTTCCGCAAATCGGACAAGAAAATTTATTATTTTGATCTTCTTCTGCCATGTCGACGTAATCACTTTCGTCTCCTTCATCGCGACCATTACTCGAGGAGTCGCTTCTTTCATTTTGATTCTCAATTTCAAACTGAACCATTGGTATAATGTCTTGTATGGTGTTAAAATTGTTGTAAATCCGTTTGGGGTAAGATGAGTGATTCCATAGATGGTTTTGTAAAGTTAGTTCCGACGCAAAGCTTTTTGGACACGAAGAACGTGAATGTTGTTTCAAATTCGCCCCGCAATTTTCTGATTCCGACAAGACTCTGGTTTCACCATCTGAGTGGATGCCTTTGTCACTAGCGTTTTCCTCATCATTTTCTACATTTGCTCCATCATCGCCTTCCAAGCAGCACTGTAAAATTACCATTGGGTCTACACGAACTTCCATTTCTGTGACTTCTACCTGCGACACTACTTCCTTTTCTTTAATTCCCTAAAACACAAAGTGGAAACAGAGGTAAATTTTTTATGGTCCTAATTATTATTATTTATTTTATACTACCTTTGTTAAGTAAGTATGTAGCAAAGATTTGGTCTCAGACTGTTTTGGGTCAACGTTATTTACACTGCAAAAAATAAACTTTGACATTTTTTCCTGATTCCTTAAAGCCATCGTGGCAAATCTGTGAAAACTATCCAATTTAGTACAACATTCATTGCAAATCATTTTTGGCAATTTATCTTCTATAGAGATCTGCAAGTATACATGCACAAATAGGATAAAATGTAAAAAGAGTATTATTCATGCGCTTACTGTCAGAGATAAATATCTTCTAATTTTTGCATGGAGGAATGACCTTCTGGCTTCTTCACCGAAAAGATTAATACCATTAGAAAATTCGGAGTAGCATACTCGACACCATTTTACTAATACGTTTGATTCCATTTTCACGCATCGGTTACGATTTTAAATAAATACATCCACCCTGTCAATAATGAAGCAGCTTAGAGCAATAAAACGTAACGTCTCGTAAAAACTAGTCCTTATACAGACATCATGCGCACATCCAATTGGTACAATTCATACATTTCTGCTGCGTACTTTTAAAAAAGCTAATACATGCAGTTTTGTGGGAAGAGGCAACGAAAAAATAAAATAATGCAATTTTAGGGGTTCACTTAAATTCCTGAGGCCGACATCAGCATCCATAATGTAGGAAGTAGCACACGTTAATGTAGATGAATTCCTGCAAACTCGATGGGAAAATTTATTATTTTCTGATTGACAGACGTCAAAACACACGTGGATGATGTTCCCGCCATCTCGTTATGAAAACGTCGATTCGGGGAGCTTTACCACCACTGTAGTTGTGGGCGCGGACGCAAAGACTTGAGCTTACAAAAGCTGCTAGTTAAAATCAATACTGAGATACCTTCAATTGTGTATGACGCAAGTGCTTTATAATTGGAGTTTTATTGTAATCGATTTAGTGGTAGCTTTATTCGTTGATGCCGATGAAACGTTTGGCTACAGAGAATAATCCGCAAATGCTAGTCATTTTCCAAAATGTCGCCATTTTGACCAATGGGTAGTAGTTGTGCCATAATCAGACATACAGGGTGTTTTATGACGAAGCTACATACTAATAGGAGAGTGGTGAATAATAATAGTAATAATAAAAAGGTCCTGGGCCAAATTTAGAGATATATAGGGTGATTTTTGAAATGTCACTAAAATTTTATTTGGCTTTAACTTTCTAACCATTTAAAAAAACGAGTTTATTTTTGGTATACACCATATTCAACTGAGATCTAATAGACCCTGAAGTCGTAATTCCAATATTCTAGGACCGTACTGGGAAAATTCATATTCGTTTGCGGCCCCTCCGAAAAAATCACCTTGTATATTTTTTAAGCTCTTCTAGTAGCATATGGAAAGTGAGAACCGCTGAGAAAAAACAAACAATTTAATTTTTTGTCACGCTTATCTTAACTTTTGAATTACCTATAAAGCTCTAGTTACACTTTTTCAATCAACTTTCCAATATCATATTATCAATAAGACTAGCTAGGACCAATATTGAATACGAGTGATTACAGATCAGAATAATTCCAATTCCAGCGCCTTTCTCATGGCATCTTAAATTTCTGTATTTTTAGAACACAAGGGCATGTTCTTTGAAAAGTGAGAGCGAAAAGTTGAAAGGTGAAGAGTACCTCCTTACCACTTTTCAGTTTTCAATTATTTACCGAAAAGTGAAAAGTGAAGAGTAATCTTGTTTCTTAACTTTTCGTAATCGTACCCTTCAAATGTGACATTTTAAAAGTAAAAATAATTTTCTAATCAGCTTTGGAGTCATTTGAAGTAATTGATATATCTACCAGTGGCGGCTCGTCATATGAAGCAACTGAGGCCGGACCCCACTGTAAAATTTGGCTCTCACGAACTAATTTCCAATTACCTATTACATTTATCAAAATATTGGATACTGTTATTGCCCACTAGTCCCCACCACAGTGAGGCCAGAATTTCTTTGCTTGTAGGTGCGTCACACTTGCCTACAATATGCTACAGTTCCCCCTCTACGCGAGGCGATTAAAATAACGTGATTTAGGAGGGAACTGAGGCCGGCTCAAAGCTGCTTGTACCTGTCTTGTAGCTTCAGTTGGCGGTTAATGTACGTGTCGCATAGTACGCTGGCAGTGTCTGACGTCAGTGTGAGGGATAGTACAAAGGCTTTAAGGATAAGGACAGGGCAGGTATTAATTTAAAGTAAATAAAAAAACAACTCCCTTACAACAAAACAAAGTAAGACTAAATTTAACGTAATTTAATATATAGATACTTATTATATTATCAAATACCTACATAGGTAGCTAATAATGAAACTATCTCACAATATTGTTTTATCTCTTGAAACACCTTTTTCAAGACAGTAATGTCGTAAACTACTGCTCTAAACAAATTAAAATCACTAGTCAAAGAATTTCTGAATTAAGAAACGAAGAAAAATTTAAAAATAAGTTCTGATATTATTATTAATAATATCATATTTTAATTTGCGGTTATAGTAGGGCTATTGGCGAAGATCTGCAAAATAAAAAATGACGTGGAAATTTATTCCTATTTGTTATTTGAGAGCGGATTAATAAAATATCTAAATAGTTGCGTATTATTTTAAAAAAAAATCTGAATGAAAATCCTATTCGTTGACATCAGTTTTTCTATAATATTGTAAATGCAACTAAAAATTTCCAGATGCATTTAGTCGTTTGACCTTAAAAATTAAAAAAATTTTCCTGCTGCGCAATTTTTTTCTTTCTTCCCCACCTAGTAAAAAAGCCACCTATTCACAATTTCAAGAGCCACCACTGTGATATACATACCTATCTTAGTGCAGGTTAAATTGTAGACTTCTGTTCTGTTAGTTGTCACTGTTACTATTGTCTGGAACTGACAGGTCTTACTCGAGTAGGTGGTCTGACATTTTATCATTTATCTCTAAAACAGTGCATTCTAGTAGCATGCAGTAATGGAATTACTTTTCGAATACTGTGATATGCGTATACTTTCTCAGATAATAAGAACTTACCTCTGCCTTTCTTTGAAATTTACAAAAATCGATTATTTTTCTGAATTTTTTAACATCCTTAGAGATAATCCCATAAGAGATATTTAGATATTCATTTTATTAAAGAATTGACACGATAAGGATGTCCAAGAAAACTACAAAAAAATGATGTCATGGATTTACTTTAGTAGGATATCAATTTGGACAACCAAAGGGGATGTTTTAAGGATCTTTAAGTTCTGGATATTCATTTAAATAACAAAATGTACATTTTATGGGTGTCCTCAATTTAGGTAATCATTCATCGGTGTTCATATCATTATTCAAAATCCATCTTTGCAAAAAGCTAGTTGTTGGAATTTACACCAAATAAAATTAAACACATTAGTTATTTAGTCTTAGTAGAAAATTTTGCTTTCTTATATTTAAATAATCTTTATGCACAGAAAATAATTATTTATAATAATATAAGAAATACATATCTTTATAACTACATATTTACATTTTAGTTAAATAACTATGTTTTCATTACAGTTGTTATACAGAAAATTAAGAATTTCCTTATACAAGGTGTTTCAAATTTTCCACTTTATACGAAACTTTGAGATGAGAAGAAATTAAATTTTAAATTAATTTTTTCTCAGGTACATAACAAATTTTCTGATAAATAAACTCAAATTTTTCACGCTGTAATAAGTAATATATTTTAAATAATACTCTTTAGGCACTAGTACCTAAAATGGACAAGGCTTTAAAAAGAATGTAAGAACATTATGTTGACGAAAAAAACGGTATGGGTTCCGTGCCTCTTTACCAAAATATAACCCCTTTACTTTTCACGAGCCGTCACTGAAAACAGTACGCATATTCGAAAAATTCGATTTCACTAAATTTTTATTGAAAAATTATCAATTTTTGCGACAAATTAAAATAGCAATCGCACACTTATTGCATTATCTCAGTAACGCACTGATATGCTGTTTAACGGGCATGTTTCCAACGCACGTGCGGGTTAAATAATAAGCAAGATACTATTACGCCAGACGAGATATTCCACCTACGTTTGAAAACATATTTACGTGTTTCCCATGAGCGTTTTTTGCCGTGCTATCTAGAAAAACAGTATTTTTTACTAGCAAACTTTATCGTTCTTTTAATTTTTGTGTTTAAATGAAATGTTATAACAATAAAAATTAAGTTTTGTTCTAAGGTCCGACAGTAAATCGTACATTCCAGGGACGTACTTTGTTTTCACATGACGTGGATAAAATAAACATATTTCTAAACAGTTAATTTTAAACACAAGTTTATATATTTAGTATGAATTATAGTCCTTCAAGATTTTATAGTTGACAATGACTTAATCTATCAGAAAATTCGGAAGTTCCTGAGAAAAAAATTATAGCTGAAGTCATTTCAACACTTGTTGATAAATATGTGTTCGGTTGCAGATCCTTTCTGAAGAAGCGCATTTAAACTTCTATTTTCCTTATTTTTCTTGTAGCAGACCTAGGATGGGAAGTGTGAAATACCCTGCACAAAGTGATAACATATAACTTAAACTTTTCAATGAATGAATATGATAATAACGATATATAATAATCAATATCAAAATACATATTGCTTGTTTCTCATAGTGTATATTATATTATTTGGCCACTTCATCATATTTCCAAAAACGTTAGTTTGGCGTAGATATGCTGGTGCAGGATTTAGCTTTGGACCTGAAAATAATAATAAGCTTTTAATAAAAGAACCTTTTCCTTTGTGTTTAAAAAAATTGCAGATAGATTTGGATAAAAGTTGATTGGAAACGACAGAACATTTTTTTTAATAGTACTCCAAATAATTCTAAGTCTAAATGTGTAAACTTTTTCATTTAAGAAGTCTTGTTTTACTTACGAAACTTTCGTTTTCTTCCTTCTGCAGATATGTAGAGTAATGGGACCGCTTTTAACATTCTTAAACAATAGAACAGCATCAGCGTGCGATATGTCGTGGCATACTTGACCATTTACTGCCAAAATTTCATCTCCTGCGTAAAAATTATGCATGAGAAATATAATTAACTACAAATAAAACAAAACGTGTCACTGACCTGCTTTTAACCTCCCATCCTCAGCTGCTTGGCCGTTAACCATAATTGTTTTGACAAAAATCCCCAAAGCGCCTTTCGGCGAATCTCTGCCTCCAACAATAGTGAAACCCAGTGACTTTTTCCCGGCACCCTTCTCCAAGGTGACGGTGTGAAAGGAACAGATATTCGAACAAGGCCGTCGCGGCAATGTACAAAAATTAGTTGTCGCTCCTACCTCAATTTTTTTTGTCGATTCTTTTGAGTTTGGACTACTTGGCAGAGATTCGTTATTTTTCTGATTCGAATTTTTTCTTAAAACACGGCTATAGCTTCCATGGACAGTACTGTTCTTCTGAAAGTAATACTGACGTTTACACGAAGGACTAGCTGCAAGCGAGTACCTATTTAAAGCTGCATTTTCGGAAGAATCGACAGAACTCTCTTTCATTGTGGTGCGAATTACGACGAGCTCCAAGTCCGTGTTCGATACGGATAAGCAAAGTCTCGCCTCACTCATGGTTAACCCTGATATTGGAGTCCCATTTATACTGACTATTTCGTCTCCTATTAAGAGGCGGGATTCCCTAAAATTGATGCAATTTTTATTAAAATATTTATTTTATTTGTTTCTTTATTTATGTATTTATTTTTTTATTTTTTTATTTTGAAAAAACAGTATCCAACGGGACAAAGTCATAACAGGATAAAGTGAAACAGGACAGCGAAACCTAACAAAATAAAAATAATAAAACAAAAAGATCAGGCATCTTACTGACTTTAAGACTGCGAGACTGGAATTATGCAAAATAAAGCCTAAGGTTTTGAAAGTAGGCTTGGTTGTTAAACGAGTACGCTTACATTCAGAAGCAGATTATTATTTGTACACCAATTATTCAAAAGTAATGACATCAAGGCGTTCAGTTAGATCATCAATAAAAATAACAAATAAATGTAGCCCTAGAACTGATCCTTGGGGATCCCCATGAATGTTGATGAAATTTATGTGAATGGAAGCAACGATGCTGTAGAAACTTGTATCCGTTACTGAAATAAGACTTAGAGGATAAAAGAGCGGGAGAAATAATGGAGATATTAATTTTTCAATTTGAAAATAAACTTGCTTGTAAAATTATTTCAAGAATTTTAGAAAAGTTTGTTATAATGTCCATGGTAAGGTATATAGTCATGTCGTTCTTTTTTCCTAGATAATTTTGAAATTTTTAAATTTTTAAGGTTTTGAAAAAAATGCGTTAGTTTTTTTATCAAATGCACGAACTAAATCAGGTCTCATTGTAATGTTTAATTAGAGTCGGCAGAGGATAAGGTAGATGTACCGCTATTTTGACTGACAAGGTGAAAACGATTCAGCAAAATAATTGACAAAGGCATTGACAGTATCAGTAGGACTATTTATCTGTATACCTTTGTGACTAATATAGAATAAAATAGCGGTAGAACTAGATCTTTTAGGGTTTGAGAACAGATCTTGAAGTATTAGGAATGTTGAAATCACCTAAAATTGAAATGTTTGAATAAAAGATGTGACAGGGTGATTCAAGGGCATCAAATACAATGTATGTATCACATATTGTTTATATAGAACAAGGACATATACAAAAATTAATTCTTACATACAGGGTGTTAATGATAAGTTTTGCCAAACTTTAATGGTGTATTCTACCGATGAAAATAATCAAGTTTTGCCCTATAAAAATTTTTGATAGGATAAAATTTGGGGGATAACATTTTTTTAGTAGGGACTATTTTTTCATGGATTATTCCAAAATACACTCCAGTGGCGTAGTTATTGGGGGAGTAGGGGACCTTTTTTGGAAAAAAATCGTACGCCACTGGTTTTTTAAATAATTTTAAATGTTTTTAATATGTATAATAATATGTGGCAATAAAGTATTCTTGTAACACACCCTGTATAATTTATCTGATGGTATTGAGATCAGTGAAAAATGGATTTAAAGCTCTATTTACAGCAAGAACAATACATTTACAGGAGAATTAAAAAATGAAGTAGAAAGCAGTGGTAAAATCGTTTCGATAATAGGATCTATTTTAACTTCGCACTTCTAGTGAATGCTAATAACATAGAAAGTATTAGCTTTACGGAAATGTATTGAAATTTAATTTGAACCTACCTTGAAGCCACTCCATCAGGTACAACGTGTGCCACAATATATCCGTGAGAAATTTGTTTGCTTTTCGTTATAAAAATTCCTAATCCTTCATGAGCTTGCTCTTTCGAGAACTGAACTATTCTAATGTTTTTATTTTGACTAGGTAAAATATCTTCGGTGCATAAACCTTCATTACACAAAGATTTTTTAACTAAATCTTGTCTGTCTAGAGAGAGGGCTCGTTGAGGTTTTTTCTTCGATCTCCTTTTCACTTTTGCAAGTACCTCCGCATTGGAAGTATATTCCGAAGTGGATGTCGTTAAGTCTAGGGGAAATTCAAACCCTGATGAAAACGAGTCATTTAGAAGAATTCCGCTGTCCGAATCTTCATTGTCCACCAAAGGTAGATAATCCTCCTCGTCGCTTTTATGCTGAGCACCATCTTGGAAAAGTAATTTATTCGATTCTTGGAAAACCTCTAAATCTGGTAATGCGCCATAGGAAAAGCTGCGTTTTTTTCCTATCTTCTTCCGCGCGTGTTTCGAATTAACTGAATCATTTAACGCATCTGGGTGATTTTTATACAACTTCGTAAAAAATTTATTTGTTGATGCCTGCAGATACTTTTCAGACATTGCCCGCAACTTAGCAGCGAAACAAGACGATCTCGATATATTCTCGCATTCTATATTATCTTTTTCATATACAAAATCCACATCTATCCTATCTACATTTTTACTAAGTTTTGCGGTATTTGGTAAAGAATCTTTAGTGCTAACTGAGCTACATGAGGGCAAGTCATTGTTAGTTGAAGTATTAGAATTCGATTTAAAACATGATAATCTGGTATGTTTTACTTTATCTAATAACGGATTTTTCTTTTCCCTATAATTACTGTTACTTGAACAACTATCCCTGGATTGCGATTTAATTCTCTTCTTCTCCGATTTTTCTATTATCACGACGCTGTCTTTCACATTATAGCAATTAGTGTTGCTTTTATTATATTGCCTTCGTGCCCATGAATTCGGTGTGGTATCTGTAAAATGTTGCGAATTCAAGTGAAAATGGACCATCAAAACAGGAAAAATGAATTAATTGACATGGTGGTAACATATGGAACTGCTGATGAAAATTATGGGTTAACTATCTAATAATAATATATCTTTATGCACAGCGATTTGAATAAACACTTGTAAACAGAGTCAGTCAGTCAGAGTTATCGTTAGAGTCAGCGGTTGCAAAAATGTCTCTTCAGATTATTATGGCAAGTTGATAAATAAAAAAAATGTCTGTTTGCAAAGGGGTTTTTTAAATAGTTATTCCATTAAAACAAAAACACAAGTTTGCTTTACATCTCTGAAGCTCAACATCAGATTGTTTAGACATTTTTTTGAAAGGGAGAATTTTCCAAATATTTCTGTCTTCGCGATTTTTTCCAAATGTTTTATGAATCCCTGCACATATTAATTCGACGACCTGGAACTTACCTATACGAGATCTATGTTTAGTATTTGGTCTTGCAATACTAAGTTCGGAATTGTTATTTTCAGATGTCTCAACTGATGGATTTAAAGCGTCATTTCTGGGATCAACCACCCTTAACGGTGACAAACTTAGCAATCTCGGCGATTCTTCTTGTTTTCGGAACCACCGCATAATCTGAAATAAAAAAAACAGTTAATTTGGCTTGTTTGATAGGCATAAAATGTTTGTATGATAAGATATTTTCAAGAAAAATGGTATTCAATGGCCGATAATTGTTTTTGGGGTACGGGGCATCGATTACGAATTTTAAATGAAACTTTGGTATAGACCTACACAAATAAGTTTGAGTTTTCTAAACGACTTCGCAATAGATTATGTTTTAAAAGCGGCATACAAAAAATTAACGGGACAGTCACAAAAGGTAATATCAAATGATTATATGCAGCGTAAGTCTGATTCAAATGATCTTGAAAATGAAAAAATAACTCAACCACGTCTTCGAATGTAAAATTACCCGAACTTTCAGAATCATAACTTGTATGAACATCATAAAACAAGAGCTGACCTTCAAATAACCTTGAACAACAGCTAAGTTCGTTAAAGGGACACCGGATTCGGATTTAGCGACCCCAAAAAACTCCTACGCCACTGATGCAGGGAAATTATTTCACTTACTAGATTTTAAATTATTTAAAAAAATTAAAAATATTTTTTTAAGTTTAACACCCTGTATCTTTTTAAAGAAACGTCCTAGATAAAAACTTTATACGACAGACTACCCTTAAAATTCATCAAAGAATACGAGGTTTTATTTTTGGGCACTGTTTGTGAATTACCCTGCATAAATATTTTACTTTGATGAAAGACGAATTGTATATTTTTCCATATTATACAGATTCTTTTTAACTACGCCACTGCTAACAATGGTGTGTATTTTACAAAAATGTAACTTCGACCTGTAAGTCGAAAACTGTTTCAGTCATCAAAAATTAAGTCCTAACTGGATTCTGTAAGAAATAGCTTATACGGGGTTCAATACAAATATCAACGTTTTTAATCTGGAATTCCCATCACTGATTCACCTATGTGTCTTACAATTAACTGAATTTTCATTAACCTACGTCAAATTAATATTTCCAGAAATTTTCAACTAAATGTTATACATTTTTAAAATTTTAAACTTTTCCATCAGCTGCTAATGACATTATAGAAAAACTGACTCACCCTGTATAATCATTAATCTATCGATATCTTCAACGTAAAAAACATAAATGAAACTAAAGATAAATCCAAACAAATATCGTGGCAAAGTTCTAACGAGGACTTTCTAAATAAGTAATTCATAATACAATTTGCAGTTGTATAAATTCAGAAACTAAATTAACCTTGATATAGCTTACTTTCTGTTAAAAAGTGTACATATTATTCACGGTTATAATTTTGCAACTATTTCATGGAGAAACCGATTTTATTATCAATTACCTACGTTTAAACGTAGGTCCACCAAATTACTTATTTCTCTGCTGATTAAATCTGCATAGAAACTCTTTGCTTTGTCCATACTGCAGCGTTTTCAAGTTTGAATTCTTAAGGCGGGTATCCACTTGTGGCAATGCTGCGTAACGTAACAACGAACATGTTACGACCTGTTACAAAAGGTGACACGGTTCGCTGCGAAAGTATGTATGGTTTTGGTCGTATCATTCATTCCGTAACGTAACAAAATAAGGTTAGGAGACGACACAGGAACATAAATTCGCAGTATGAATCTGACTGCAATAATGGATTCGTCACTGCAATTGCAGTTAGCAGCAGCGTCATATATTTTTATTCATCATACAATTTTGATGGATAAGAAACGGAAATCTCCGGAAATCTTTTCTTTACTCCACTCCATGGCACAAACACAGAAAAACACATTATTTCTAGTCATTGCAGAAAACAGACTGTCCCCAGACCATATACAAAAGACTGATGAAACAAAAATATAAGACAAAATCACATGTGTAACAGGCAACGTTACGGCCAAAAGGGTAACTCCGTCTCGACATGAAAAGAAAGTACTGTTGCATCCCTTTGATGCGACGACTAAAAACCGACAACTGATGGTTCGTCCCGGATTAGTTACGCGTGTCAAATTTGTTACACGTACCATGCAACAATTTCCCGTGTCCACTAGCTGTAACGTATCATGTTCGGTGTTACGTTACGGGGCATTTGACACAAATGGATACCCGCCTTTAGGGTGCGTTTACATGGAGACTTACAATCTTAAGATCGTCAGACCTGGCTCTAGAGCGGGCAGCTTTGATTTGGACTCTTTTATTAAATCTAAATAAAGAATTAACAATTTGATAATCTTAAGCAGATCTTTCCCAACTCGACCTATTTTGTTGTTTTTTCAACAGCAATAAAATATTTTTTTTTGAGGTTTGATCTCTCTGTAGTTCTCTATCTCTGTAGTTTCCATGTTTTGAATACAGATGATAATCTTCACACTAGGGTGTCCCGCATAAGAACCGACACAGGGGAGGTGCATGTAGGGGTGTCCAAAATATTGTAATTTACTTACAAACTATATTATATAGGTAATATANAGAACAGCGTGTTGCATTGCAAATTTGTTTTCTGCTCGGTAAAAGTGCATCGGACACAGTTGATATGTTGTCTACAGTTTATAAAGAATTCAAGTGTTTGAGCGGTATTCGCGATCCAAACGCAGCGACATGTCGATCGAAGACATTCAATGCCCGGGTCGGCCTCGCACTTTCAGAACTGATGAAAACTTGGAAAAAATTTGGGCGTTTGTGTACAAGGATAGAAGCGTCCTAACTTGCTGAATTATCTGGTCTTTCGTGGAGCTCAATGCAATGCATTTTAGCCGAAAATTTGCAAATGAGATGAATCGCAGTGAAAGAGTGACCGAAAAAAAAGCCATTTTTCCACCTGTTTTTGAGACTATGACAGAGGCAACAGGGAAAATCCTAAAAATATCCAAATACTCGTCATGAAAAATGAAAATGAGCATCACTCAGTTTTTCGAAAATTTTCGAAAATCGCCCTTATTTCGGGGTTGAAAAGACAAAAAAAGTGAACAAATTAAGAATCATCAACAGTTGTAAAACCCCAAATATTTCTATTTTGTTATCAAAATAATATGAACGTGAAAATATCTAATTTCATATTTGATACGGTCTTGTCCGGATTGAAAATCAACCCATAATATCCCTAAAGGGGTGAAATCATCCCCTAAACGCCTAAAAATGCAAAAAATATATTAAAAATTCTTTTCTTTTTCTTTTATACGTGATAATTGAACCGTTAACCCACAATCACTAGATCCGAAGGAAAGTACCCCTAAATGAGGGTAAAACCACCCCGAAGTTCAACCATCGGCTTCAAAGTACATAAAATAATTATAATGCATGAAAAAATAATGTTTCGAAATACATTCATTAGAATAATTTATACACAAGTACTCCCATACATTATCAATCATTTTAAAAAATAATCATCTCTCTCAAGGGGTAAAATCATCCCCCAAATATACAAAAATTCTTCTTGTGTGAATTTTGGGACACCCCATATATGTTTAATGCATACATTTACATACAGCATACACAAATATAACTGGGTTCTCGAAAAGTGGCGCATTATTTATACCTACCAATTTGGAATCAATCTCCATCCTCTAATCTTTTTTTAGTGCGCTACTGCCTGCGCTGGACACATACCTTGTAGCGCTTTTAATGTTCATAAAAAAAAAGCAGAATGGTAGCTTATCGGTTCTGCCTTGCGCGCATTTACATAAAAAAATAAGCAGTTAAAAATTTGGTGTTAAAATTGTATTACAAAGTATTTCTCAAGATAGATAAAAAATTTATGTGGTTGAAGACAGACGCGGATGCAAATTCGAGAAACGAATTACTACAGTGGACCAGTTCGTTATTGAATTGGCCTACTGTAATAATTTGTTTTCAGAATCTGTCTTCAGCCACGTAGAAAAATTTAAAACCACACGGAGGCACAAAGCAGGTAAAAGAGAGTCTTCAAAAACTGGATGTTATGAGTAAAATAAGGAAAATTTATTTCACATATTACATGACATAACTTATGCTTAAATAATATAAATTAAGTACAGTCACATCTTCGTACAAAACAAAACAATTAACAAAACAAGTTAAAATTTTGTCAGAATTTAAATATTTTAGTATCAAAATTAATTTGCATACATGCTTAAACAGGATCTACAACGAGCAACCACAAATACATAAAACTAAAATGAACATCATATATTCCATAATTACGTCATTCAGTTTCATCAGAGAAATACAAAACAACAATGAACATAAATATATAGGATGTAGTAGCGACGTTGCGACAAACTTTCATTAACCTCATCGAAATAAGCAAAAAAGAAACAATTTTTTTTTCTAAAGAACCATTAAAAATATATGCTCGAAGTACAGTATAGTTCCACCATAATAACTACATGAGATCTGAATTTCAAAATTAATTATTTGACCCTCGTTTACAGGATAGATATTTCCATCGAAACTTTTGTGCCTCTTTTAGCATTTTTTATGTGAAAATAAAAGTTACAAAATCTTTAACTGTATACAGGGTGATTCAAAATTCAGTACAAAAAATTTAGGGGCGTATTTTTGAGGTCAAAATATTTTAAAATTTTATTTTTATATTTTTTATTTATTTTTTGTTTTTTAGAAATAAATTTGAATGTTGGCATAAAACTTGGAGTACGGGGTTTTTTTATTATGCTAAATTTACATATGTCATTGTCATTTAAATATGTCATGTCATTTGACGCTGCTTATAGAGACGCCACCTATAAGGGTACGCTTGAATTAAATTGGCCCTAACTTTTTTACTACCCAGTACATTGACGTTTCGTGTCAGCGCGTTTATTCCCCTATCAATTTTAAGCAAGAAAGGTATGTCGAAATCTCTCAGGCCAACCGTTTCCGAGATTTTGGCTGATGAAGAGTTAAATGCACACCATATTTTCAAACTTTATTAACTATTTACCGTGAAAAATTTTAAAATTTATTCACCATCTAATCAGTAACGCAATGATTTTGAATTTTAGCTCTGTACATTTTTTTCATACAATTTCGAGAAAATCACTGCTGACTAGTTCAAGCGTATCCTTATAGGTGGCGCCCTCTACAACAGCGTCAAAACAAATTAAATTTAGCATCCTAAAAAACCCCCGTACTCCAAGTTTTATGCCAACATTCAAATTTGTTTGGAAATTATTCCTAAAAAATATTAAAAAATGAAAAACTTTAACATCCTATATATCGAAAACTAAGCATTTGTGGACCCAGGTTTATAGAAAAAAAAGTCTTATTTTGACCTCAAAAATACGCCCCTACATTCATTGTACTGTATTTTGAATCACCCTGTATAAAAGCCAATTACTTTGTTCCAATTTTTTAACAATTTGAGATTAGTAAATTATGCTAACATTGAATCTATCCCTTTCATTCACATAAACTGGATTTGTGCTCAACTTTAATTTACACTGATTTTCATCTATGCTCCGTACTACTAACATCGCTTATAACATTGTGATTGTGATGACTGAAACGGTGCATTCTACCGTAAAATAACAACAGAAGCAAAAGTTTATTCAGAAATGTCCTATTCGAGTCTGTAAAGGACGGTTTTAGTCAGTCATATATTTTTTTATCAGTCTAAATTCCTCTGAAAGTCTATCCTAATGGGACCTAATTTCGATGCCAGTAGTTAAGTTTTGTTCAAAGTTTACATTTACATTTATTTATGTACAATCAGGGAACTACAATAAACCAAGATTACAGACCGAAAATCACCTCCTTTCCAGTCGACCGTGGCAGACAGGGACGTTTGAGGGCAGCGCCAACGCCGAGAGCCGACATCGTACCGAAGATCGCCCAAGTTTCGAAGCGTTTCCGTTAGACAGGCGATTGAACGTCGACTTTGGCCACTTGCAGTTATACAACCAAGAACAAGGCCAGTACGTGTGTACTCTAAACTTAAAGTTGCGAACTTAGAGGCAATATAGCCAGTATTACATATGTCACATTATTGCTACTGTATCGTTATACCGAGCGTTAAATAAATAATATATATTTATGTTAATAAAAAGTCCTACCAAGTGGCCCAGACATTTATTTCACTGATGCGGCTTATACAGAACCAAGGGTCCTTAGCCAAATCTTATATATATATCCTTATCCTATCCTATATATACCAAATTATTAAACAGGGCGTTTGCAGAATCCTGACAAATATCATTTTTTTTCCGATATCCAAAATTTTATCACACCGAACCTATCCAGGTTCCTAATCAGTACATTTGACAATTTTTCCAAAATCCTATTCAAAATCCAATTTATTTTATGCAAGAATAAGTCACAGGTAAATCAGAGAATAACCTACCACCTCAAATGCATTCAAGGTTCGACTCCCTAGAAAAATGGAAAACGTACGTCGAAATGTTATGGACCAAGACACACCGTAAATAAATACCGACCAGACGACTTAATTTCCAAGTTTCGTAGTTTCTTCGGAAGAAGAGAGGAAAGTCCTAAATAAGTGTTTTAGCTTAATTTGCAGGCTTTCGTAGTAGTAATTTTTTTTCTTTTACAAAATTATAAGTAATAAAACACATTTTTTTTCTTAGGATATTATAAAATATTCCTCAGCTCTGGTGATAGACTTTTGAATATATGTAAGCAGAAAGCACAGTTTCTACAGAAGTAAATTGAAATTACAATTAGGTAAGAAAATTTCCTTGTTTTTATTAAATACATTTTATTTTAAATAAAAAGATATATAACTTGATACAGCAACAATCTTTCCTCAAAGATGCAGGAAATTTTTAAATTATCTGCTGGGGAAGTGATAGGAACAGACGAAGTAGGCCAGGAAATATAGAGTTGGACGCGACTTTTTGTTTCGGCAAGCTGAATTTATCACTATAGATGCTAAATGTTATGTACAATAACATATTAGTTTCCACAGTCATAAAAATGGGGGAAAGATTGTTTACAGGGTGGTTAATTGTATAATTTTTACGTAAATTCACGTTTTTCGCTTATAACTTTTTTCGTTCATTTCCACGAGAAAACAGTAAAATACTTTTTTTTCGTCTTCAAAAGACCTACAAATGGTAGATTTCAATGTATTATTATGAAATCTACCATGAAAAAATCAGCGCGATTGTGGAAGATCCTCGAGATCGTCCAGACTAATAATTAGTTAACTTGTTTATAAGGCCATAACTTGTAAACTATTCCACTTACCGATTGCAGATTTCGTGCGAGTTACTAGACAGTGATAAGGAATGAGAGGATGCGATACCAAAACGTTCTGGTAATAATAACGCAGTTTATAAATGTTTAATTCAAAAGTCAAAAATAAACTTCTTCTGTTTATAACTTTTGATCTAATCAATATTTTCTGACGCTCGAGGGCTAGTTTTGTAGGTCTTTTGAAGACCAAAAAAAAGTATTTTACTGTTTTCTCATGGAAATGAACGGAAAAAAGTTATAAGCGAAAAATGTGAATTTACGTAAAAATTATACAATTAACCGCCCTGTAAACAATCTTCCCCCCATTTTTATGATTGTGGAAACTAATATGTTATTGTACATAATATTTAGCATCTATAGTGATAAATTCAGTTTGCCAAAATAAAAAGTCGCGAAATGGTCATTTCCAGCTCTTTTTCCTGGCCTAAATGATGGATTCTTTTCTGAAGATACTTATTCGTGTGGTTTTTGATATTCGCAAAATGGACAATTTGAGCACTGCAACAATTATTGATGATCAATTCAATCTTCTTGACGTTTGGAAACAAAATAGTGCTCTTCTTCAGAACCAGAAATGTCTTCCGAAATGTGAAGAACAACTGGCGCCGCAACCAATCTGGAAATTACTCAACCATTGACAACTACCACGATTTGCAACAATTAAATTGTGAAGTGATTTCACAGAGTCTTCCGTTTGCGTTGGATGTCACGGAAAAATTGAAGGGTATGAAATCGGAAATCTAGTTTTTCATCGTCACTTAATTTCTTAATGTCTCCAAGTAAAGACATTAAAAATAACTTATCCGAGTCTTCTTCTTCAGTACTTCGACTGTTAAATTTTTCCAGAGGTTTGCGCTCAAGATCGTTTAAAGTTTGTGAGGTTCCAACAATGTCTTTTTTTAAAACCGATGTTTTAGCACCGGTAAGTAACACAGTCTCTACTATATCCTCGTCAGTTCCACTGACTTCATCATTTTCATAAGAGAATTGGGTCCCGTCGTCTTCTTGGTTTTGATGAGTAGCCTTTCCCGACTTCCTTCTTCTGTTTAACGATTGAAGTAAGAACGATAGTGCGTCGGCGTACATATACTTCTTCTTCTTTACAACCGGATCTCCATTATTTACCTGATTCATGTATTTACCGAAACTATCCCTCATATGTCTCCATTTAGTTTTCATCTCTTTCACTGTAAAAAAGAGAAAAACTGATCAAGTGAATGAGCAAGAAGGTAAAGACTTATACCAAAAGGATAAGTTAAAAGATTGATTCTGTGAACTTATTTGTGCCTAACCAAAAACATATACTGAAAACTAGATAACCGTCCATGATTTCATTAAAAACAGTGACAATGACCTTCCACAGATATATAAGATAAACAATATTGATTTTTGTATAAGTGTTACGGTGATTTTAGTGAAATCACGAACAGTCATCTACTTTTTTGTCGTTTCATTCCCTTCTCCTCATCAAAGAAATGGCTGCTGAAGTGTACCCAACAAGATCCACAGTTTACACGACATATTTTCTATGGGCTATGTTTCTGACCACTTCAAGCACAACGTCGATTTTCAACAAACCTTCGGCAGGGCTAAAAGGCAACAAGTAACGTTGTCGCGAGACACCATATGAAGAATTGCAAAGATAATCACTTGAAAAAATTTTAACAATGCTTCAAGAACCAGCCCTTTGGAGCAAAACAATATGAGTATTATGGAACTTGGCATACGGTCAACCAATTAATACAGAATACGCTTCAATGTTGTATTTTTTATTTTATCGAATTTCTTTTGGCTCTTATGAACGTTTCTCGGTGTGAACACCTTTTTTTGAAAAATCCAAATAATAAATCACTCTGTATATGTACATCCTTTGGATATATAATGATGGTATTTATATGGATTCAATAAAAGCTTTTAAGGTAAATGTTTACCTGGTTGGATTAAAAATTTTGAGTTTTTTTCTCTATGCTTCGGAAGTAGACCGTTAATTAAAGTTGCTACAAATATCACAGGCGCGTATTAGGGAAATTTAACTGGTACCCTTAGTATAAATTTTAAATAGGTACCTTTTACCCAACGGTGTTTCAGAAAAAAATTCAATTAATACGTAGACATGAATATTAATAATAATAAAATGCTCAACTAAATACATATATAAAAATACTAAAAAATACCGCTAAAAAATAATTATCGACAACTTTTGTGGTTGACCTTTTCAAAAACAACTTTAGCAAAATATAATTGTACTTCCATTACTATTTATGTTTAGAATATGAACGTGTTTTAATTTTTAATGTTTTCCTTACCTTGTTCTTGCTTTTCTTCATCTGATATTTCATCCCATGCGTCGAACATTATTTCTCCTATAGCAATCCAACTGTCTTCCTTTAAATTACGATCAGTGTACTCTTTACAACCCCTTTTCCATATCGAGGGATGGTCTTGTATACACTTAATAAATTTGTCTTTGTTAAACATATCAAATTCGAGAAAATAGTTTTCAAATAACCGTAATCTGCGAACGTTATAGTTTAACTGAACGCTACAATCTTGCTCTCCCGTCGACCCGACTTCCCGTTTGCCGGCAACATGTTGCGGTCGCAAGCGGCGATTGCGTTTTTACCACATACAGGGTGTCAGGTGGTTAAATTTCGCGATTTCAACGCGATAGCTTTGGTCGAAATAAAAAATAAAATATGTATTTCAACCAGAAAGTTTAATATGATATATGAAAACGAAATTGTATTTTAAATATTATTAATATTTAAATTTCAGGTGAAGAAAGTTAGGTTATGTCTACAAAATTGCGAATCTTATGTCCTGTTAATATTCTTTGTTTCAGAGAGTAGCAGAGGCTTTACATCTAAACGTCTCAACAGTCAATTATGTGGCTGATAATCCAAACAGAGGTAAAGCACCTGGAAGTCCACCGAAAAAACGTCAACGTGCGGATAGTATATTGCTCTCTCGAATGTCATTTATTTTTCAGGAACCTAACGAAATGCAGTTTTAGTTTTCATTTAAAAACTATGTGGTATCTAGATGTGGCTCTGTTGAACTTTAAGATGAACAGGGCAATGATTATACAATCACCTTTGAACTAATTGTCGTTAAATGTGAAAATTAGACACGATGCTAAAGTGGGTAGAGGTCATCAAAAGTTCTCGATTTCCACGCCTAAACATGTCTCGTAGACATAGGTATCACGTTACCTGCCCAGAATCATTTATGTATTGTGTTTACGGGTGAACAGCTTGGATGCATATCAATTGCACTGGTGCAAACAATGAACAAAAAGTTTTATCTACATTAGGCCATCATGATTGAGATATATGAAAATATGAAAAACGGTTAACATTTATATGTTTATATTTAATTTAAAAAATAAGTACATAATAATATGTTTAGTTACTCATTTTTCAAATACGTATTTTTTTTATTTAGATTTATTTCCAATAGAAATTATAGAATTAGCCTGGTAATAATGGAATAACATCACGGATGCCCCCCGTATTTGGAACTTCTAAATGGCGGCCTCATTAACTGATATGCGCATCATGATCATGACATTTGTTTTCATTTACTCTAAGCGAAAATGAAAAATTATACAAAAGTAAGGTCTAATGCAGAGTAATTAATAATGCTATATACACGGTGTTCCACCTAAGAGAGATTCTTCTGTAACTCTGCAACTGTAAAATTTATAAAAGAAATGGTTTTAATAAAAGTTGCTTGGAATCATGTGAGCCATGTAAAGAAAATATTTTTAGCTTTACAGGGTGTTCCATTGCGCGTAAGCGCTACATTACTGTGCCCCCCATTTTAATTAATACACAAACGAATTCGGTTTTTAATAAACTGTTTTAACATTGGTCAGCATGTCTGGCGTAATTTCTTGAAATGCTACTGTAATGCGCTGTCACATATCTTCCGCGGTAGTTGGTGGTATAACGTAAATTTTGCTTTTTATAAATCCCCATAAAAAAAAGTCGTAACTTGTCCTATCTGGACACCTTGAAGGCCAACTCACTGGTCCCCAGCATCCAATCCATATGTTGGGAAAAGTTTCTTGTAAAAATTGTCGAACCGCAGCGGTATTGTGAGGTGGAGCACCACCATCATGTTGCATCCACATTCTTCGAAATGTAGCTGAAGGAATGTCTCCTAACAAATCTTTTAGTGTTTGTTAAAAAATTTAAATAAACTGATCCAGACAAATGCTGGTCAAAAAAGAACGGTTCCCAAAATTGCTCCCCACACGTTCAAAGCCCATGGCTATGAGTTGTCCGGAATTGGTGAGGATTTACTGTGTCATAATAATGGCAATTATGACTATTAACGAAACCATTTTTGTGAAAAGTAACCTCATCGGAGAACATGACCCGTTTAAAAAATCATCATCCTGATTTAACATCTCAAGTGCCCACTGACAAAACTCTAGTCTCCACTGAAAGTCTACTTTTAGTAACTCTTGGTGTAATTGGATGCAATAAGGATGTGCTGTGCTGTGCTTTGTTTTGGGCATGTGTTTTGTAAAATCCTATTGCAAGGCCTTCTTGATGCTGTTACATAGCTACTTTTTCGGACTTTAGAAAAGAACCTGATTTTTCTGGAAAACTGTTAGAGATAAGTAGGGACAACCTTATGTCAGTCGAAAGGGCATTCAATTTTACATTTACCCATGACAATTAATATGGGTCATCCCATTTGAAAAAAAAGTTTTTCAACTCGTTAAATTATTAAATATAGGTCTCAGTATTTCCGAGTCTGAATAACGTACACGTTTTACTCATAGATGACAAGATAGAGTAATTTATGCCAAAACGAACTGTGAAAACTGCAGGTTTCTGACTATTACCAGTGACTATTACAAGAATTCTTGTTATAGTCACTGCTATTACGGTTTAGACGCTATCTAGCCTCATTTAAGGAGGTTTATCTGATTTGGAATTGACGAACAAATATTCATAAAAAAATTAATATAAGCTTATTCATACGAAGAAAATCCTCAAAAAAAATTATGACTAGTTTGGATACCTAAGAGACGAGATATTAAAAAAATAAATTTTCACGATTTAGTACAGTCTTATGAGAATGCAGATTTTTTTCCACTTAGAATGTGCAGCAATTGACAAACAGTTTTTACAGCAACTTGTATAAATAGGAAACCGATATCTAACGAATCGTATGACAGCTCGTAGAAATCGATTAGGTACTTGTAAGATACATAATTTATAATAATTCTCCTTCAAACTGCTGTTGTTGATTAACTTAACGTCCATATGCGTGATAGCGGCAACGCCGCGGTTCTCGACGTAGCGTATTATTTGAAATTCGCAGGTCTGACATATGGTGTATATTTCAAGCTTAGGCATCCAAACAAAGCCAGCCAAGTGCAACGTTGCCAAATCTAAAGACTTACTACTTTAGTCACTAGCGAATGTACAGAAACTCTCGTTAGACTTTTAGACGTACCCGATAAACTTCCTTAAAGAGCTGAAATCGTGATTTTTTTTAAAAACAACTGATTATCTCGAAAACGGTAAGTTTTAAACACCATGCACATTTAATAAACTCTACCTAATATTAACCAAGGAATTCAATAATATACAGGGTGTTCCATTTAAAATAACAAAGTTATGTAGCGCCCACGCGAAATGGAACACCCTGTAAAGATAAAAATATTTTCTTTACATGGCCCATATGATTCCAGACAACTTTTATTAAAACCATTTTCTTATAAATATTACAGTTACAGAGTTACAAAAGAATCCCTTTTAGGTGGGACATCCTTTATAAATAAAAGTACTAAAAATTTCGTATTTTTTTAAATCTAGTAAGGCAGATTTCTCTCCCCGAAATTATTATTCACCAAGTTAACGCAACTTCGCCTCTCTTTCTATTTCAAACGTTTCGAAGACCAACCGATTTCAAGTAGGTACCCTGTATGTTACGGCGACTGTAAAATTATGTATTAATAATTCTTGTGAAATTTTGTACCAGTGTGAACGGAATTCTATACAGACAGAAAGTAGGTAGGTAAGAATTTTTTCACACCCATAACTTTATAATTGATGCGATGATGCCATAATAATGTAATCTGCAGGTAGAAACAATATACGAGGCCACTGTAAATGTGTATATAATTTTGATGAACAATGTTGCATGTATTAGCTCTTACCAATGCGCTATGTTATTTAGGATGCTCAGTTATGATCGGTTATTTACTTAAAAAATAGATGTGAAGCAAATTTAGTTATTACTTTGTATTATTTCATAATTCAAGAAGTCATTTATGTAATATAGTGTATTACACACTGCTAATAGGCGAGAATGTATTTCTAATTGCTATGAAAAGAGATACATTAAATTGAGAAATAATAAAATAGCCATTTTATCTTGGCTTTAGCTAAAATGCCATTAAGAATGGAAAAACACATACATATTTTTGCATTGTATTTTGTACTCAAATTTAATTTATTTCAAATAATTCATAACATCAAAATAAAGTATTCCACGTTTAGATCTGCATACTATATAATATATAATTCATATAAAAGTATTGTGCCATTCCCTTCTCCTTTTCGTTTTCATTATAACGTAATGTACTACTCTCTTTGTTCATCGTGCTGACTTGCACTATTTTGTTTCTTTCTTATTGCAGCAGGCTTTGTAGTCGAGCCGTAGCCAAACCGGTATATATTTCTGAATTTACTCTTATTTTATGTATGAGTAGTGCAGAATAAAATTTAAAGCAAAAAAAAAAGTATCGAAAATTAAAATTACATATAATAAACCAGACAAAGAGGTAGGTGTGGCCTATAGGTACATGCTGTTTTAATTCTTTATTTGAAATTCCAAAATCTGATATCATAGTCTCGTATACATTGAAAAATTGAAATTGCAATTAATTCAATCAAATGAAAGCGCAGCCAAGAAGGAATTGAATTCAATCTTTGCAATTACTGTTACTACAGTATGAAGAATATATACATACATACAGAGTGTACCATATAAAACTATCCACCTGAACATTTTGTTTAATATGAAGTTTTGAAAAAATTTAAAAACACGTCGATTTTCAATTTCAGGGGGACATCGACTTACATCATTACTTATTTTGCAGTTGCCACCCCTTCGTAGATCGAGGTATCAACTTTGAAATTTCAAATGGCACTACAGGGCGTGTGATACATCGTTTGAAAGCTCTTTTAATACTGACTTCGAATCCGTAAAAAAAAATAAAAAAATCATTATGCGTTTTCAAGAAAAAACATTACATTTAAAATTGTTTATAATGGATGCTGAAATTGTGCACCCAGTTATTCTTGGCAAATATGGAGCCTGTCTACGAAACATCTCCTTACATTTGCAAAAACCTCTGGAATTAAATTCCGACATTCGTATACAATACGTTGGCTTAAATCTTCTAGATTTTCGGGTTGACTTGCAAAAACCACTGATTTGAGATGTCCCCA